TTACGAATAAGGACACCTTTTTGATGCCCTGCCGAGTGTCGTTATAAGCGAAGTTGACTGTATTGAGTGTCGGTTCCTGTACTGGTCCATGCACCGAGCAGAATAATAAGTGATCCAGTGTTCATTATATAATTCCTTTGTTTGTTGAGGGAATGGAAAGGGGCCAGTCCGACGAAAAAAATCAGGGCTGCAACGGGTAGGGGTTTGGTCGGGTAGCGGGCTCGGGTATTTTTGTAAAGTCGACGGAATAGCGCGAGCTCCAGTGTGGGGAGCAAACCCTTTCGTAATAATTATCGCCAAAGTCGCAACCATTATTTCTAGGGCTCAAACGGTTAGTCCGATTAACTGGTTGCAGACCGGTTACGAAGAATTAACGGTTAACCGATAAAGATAACGGTTACGCAGTAACTTTTCAGTCAATTTTTCATGTATCAGGTCGTTGCAAAGTATGCACTTTCGCAGCCTGCCGCACGCGTACGCAATTTCTGGGCTGTCAACTCGGTCATATCTGGTCTCTTCGTGTGAGAGTATGTATGAATGAGCATGCAAGAGAATGTACATGTGTGCGTTGTACTGAATAGGGTACATTTTTTGAATGAGTATAGTCAAATAAACGGTTAAAAAAGAGTCCGCAGGATTGCCATGGCTTATAGGTTATAACCGTTAAACCGACCGTTAGCTTAGCAGTTAACCGTTCGGGGTAAAACCGTGACCGTTTGAGCCCTAATTATTTCGTACTACTATTATAGGTATTCAATAGAAACAGTTGCAAAATCCTTTAGATGAGCATGTCACAACAAAGCGTTCTGACATGCGCATCCTCAAAAATAGTCATGATCGGCTCCTCATCAAATGTCAAAATAAGCAATGATGAATGGCTGAAAGACGACATTCACGAGCTAGGTAACGTGTCACAGGGCTCAGAAATGTATAAATTCAGGGGTATAGTACCAATCAATCTGCCAGAGCTGCGGTAGAAAGATGTGGGATAGGCCAAAAATTGACCAAAAGAGTCTATCCAATTCCAGCATACCTGCCTGCACATCATCACATCAAGAGCCATTTGGCTCGTAGGTGACCTCTTTTTGGCCTCCTTGATGATTACTGATCCTCTTCTTCAATCTTCTTCACTTCCTCTTTGACTTTTCCGTCACTTCCCTCAAGTTCCCAGCTCTTCCTGGTTGTATGTCAATGGTGTTGTGAGGTGCAGCGCAGAAACGCGATGCTATCTGGTTTCAATGTTCAGCCGGATTCTACATTTATTCTCCAAGAGCGTGTTCAATCATGAGTATTATAGGTGAAGCCAAGTCGGAAACCCAGCCTTCCCTGGTGGCCCACTCTCCAAGGATAGGGCAATAAACGTACTATCAGATGTATGATGCATATGCAGGGCGCAGTCATGTTGACTCCATCATACGTGACGATGATGCCACGCGGTTCAGTGCAGCACGGCCACGTCCGTACATTGCCTCGGGCTCAGGCCCGGCGTAGCGTTTCATATGTCTGCTACTGAAATGATCTTGGAAAACATGATCACAGGTTTAAGAGAATCACGTAGCCACCACAGGTCTTCGTATAAATAGGCCGTTGGACATTGACAACTTTGCAAAGCTTCAATAGCGGCCCGGGTGATGAATTCTGCCCATACTAATACAGGCCTGTTGATTTCCCATTTGCAAATGAATTTCTCAGACGTGAATGGACGTCTTCTCACCTCACATAGTGAAATACCAAGGCAAATATCACGCTTGGCCTGGTCGCTGATTACGATGGGATGTGGACTGGTACAGCTGACAGCACGCTGATTCGATCACAAATTGCAGAAATTACTCATTATTTTACAAACGAAATCCAGTCATCTATCTCCCACTCAATGTCTGACGCCGAAAAAAGAGAGAGAGAGACTGAGAGTACGTAGAACTAGTGTTGACATCACTTTAGTACTTACTCAAGTCACATCAAAATCCTTATCAGCGGGCTCCAGGCTGTGGAACGCCTCCAGTGGGTCTGAATGTTCGACAACGTCAACCATTACTTCTTCAAAGAATCGTCATCTACTGTTTACTGAGTGGTGTGCGGCCAGTCGCCAAGTACTCGTACCATGGTACCAGTGCGAGTACTGATTACGATGATGCCGTTCACAAGGGAGTAGTAAAATACCTACTCCGCGCCCAGCTCACAATCGATCGATTTGGTTTCTTTTTTTTGTTGCGCGATCGATCGATTTTGCGCGATCGATCGATCGTTGCGCGATCTGTCGATCGACAGATCGCGCAGCAAAATCGATCGATGTGGCAGATCCATAGATGGCGCACAACATATGTACAGTGCATTTCAAAACTATAGACGCGTAGGGTTTTTGAAATATTTCAAATTTGGCTGGAACTTTTTGAGAATAGTTTTCGGAATGTTGCTCAGGATCGCTCCACAATTACTCTCATATAGTTCTCTGCTCCAAATTTGTTTGCACGAGCATCAGCATGCACACCCAGCCCTATTACACACAGCAGCCATTTGAACATGCGGTGAATGCAGACCTGCTGCACAAGACTTCTTGCCATAGCTAGATAATGGCGCTATGCGCCTTGGAAGAGAGCCAGCGCTGTAGCCCGAACTTATTGTCAGCAATACATCAGAATAAGGCAGAAAACTAAGGCATCGGCAGCTTCAGCATTTGCTAGGCTTCAGGAACCATGCTTTACTACTTCGTTTTTGAAGTACGAAAAACTCGCCAAGCGAAGAGTTATAGGCATATAGACCAGAGCATCATGAGTCACACGACTACAGTCTGCAGCACACACTACAGCGGATAACGGCAGCGCACACTAAGAAGATAGTTGACCAGGGTGGGTGGGTGGGTAGCTGCACACTTGGCAAGAAGAAAAACAATGACCTGCAGAATCACAGCAACAGCACTTTCAACCACAGCACACTGCCCTCGTACCCGTTCCGCACGCACGTGCAAAAAATATTAACAGAGAACTAGATTTCTCGTTTCTTTCGCTTCGCTCAGCCAACGAGAAATAAACATTTTCTAAGGGCATGTTCGATTGGTTAGGATCGGGATCGGGATCCAGATCTCAGATCCGTCGGATCCTTCAGAGTCAACTGGACACTTTTTTCAGCCTTGACTGTTGCCATGTGGACGAAGTAATAAAAAGTCGTACTCACAGCGCCAGTTGTACAAAAAGTCAGCAAGCTCTATCTCGATCCACGTGTGCGTACCACAATGTGTACAAAAACGAGTTTTACCCGCCATATACGCACAAAGGTCACATTTGGATCCGTTGGATCCGGTCAACCCTGCTCCCCGAGGTGGGTTGACCGGATCCAAATCCGAAGGATCCGGATCCGGATTCGACCAATCGAAAGGGTGCGAATCCAGTGGATCTGGTGGATCGGGATCCCGATCCTACCAAACGAACATGCCTAAGGGCATGTTCGATTGTACGAATCCATCAGCCCCGGACCCGGATTCGCCAAATTTGTGCATGTTCGATTGTACGAATCCGGATCCCGAGAGCACGGATTCGGATCCAGTCAACCCACCTCCCAGAGACGGATTCGACGGATTCGACGGATTCATTTCGATAGTACGACTCGTATCTGCTCAAAACTCGCAATATGCGTACACTAGGTCAAGAGTTTACCACAACGCGTACAGATACTACGGGATGAGCTGTAGCAACGCGGTTGCTAAGGCCTTGAAACGGATTATCGGTTGTGCACATTCGATTGTATCCGTCCGATCGAAGTGATCTGGTCGGCGGGGATCGGGATCCAGTTTCTACAATCGAATGCAGCCCTAAAGGATTGGATAACAGACGCCCAATTTGGAAAAAATTATGCACAAAGTGATCACAGATTTTATGTGGTATAGATGCTGGCAAAACGGTTTTTGCCTACAGTAGAGTCGCGCGCCCAAGAACGTTGTTTCCAAGGGGTTAGCCTGGGACGTTCTTATTTTGTCAGCAATCTGGCTGCATTCTTATAGCACGTTCTTAGAAACAATTCGACCTGGATCATATGTATCCCATAAGCTGCCAGAAAACCAACACTGCCGTTCTTAGCTTTAGGCTGTGGTGTTCTTAGAATTTCAGGCTGGTCGTTCTTGGGCTCGACGTTCTTCAGCGCGCGACTCTACTGTAGGTACGCGTCTATAGTTTTGAAATGGACTGTAGGCAGTAGTCACCAGAGAAATTAAATTGACCAAAGCTGGCGTGCCTAAAATTACATGCCGTGGAGAACTATTATTGAAGTGCTCAGCTTCACAGTAGATCTCCCAATGGAAATGGAACCCACTGCAACTCACAATTACAAGTCAACACTTGCACATGTGATTGCTGTAGGTTGATCCAGGCACCCACCCAATTGCTCCAGCAAAATGCGGTAATGCGAAGAGTACATAAGCTCATTTACCGTAATGCTAATACCGGTAACATAAATGATATAATTATAAATCAAGAGTGCATACTACCACTTGTACAATCAGATATGGCAAGCAAAATTTGGAAGCTGGTGTTTCTCAACAGAATTTGTATAGCCGGTGGGAACGTGGATATGCACACTTTGCTTTACTAAGTAGCCGTTGACTCCAGGTTATAAACATAGGGAATACTAATGTAATGCGAAAGAACATGTTTGTTCGTTGGTTTGAGGGAACATGTTTTTGTGAGGTAATACTGTTGGTCTACGTTTATGTTAAATTTGATTATCTGTTTAGATACACGCACGTTTTATGGACATGTGCCGACGGCGCAATAACGACAACCTGCCCAGAAGAGTTTCTTTGGATGGCCTTACTACAATGGAAATGTGCTTGCACATTCTACAATAAAAAATGTAATGTGCTGCATTATGCTTCCAGTTCCAGACATCTGAAAGAGATCTGTACAGTCGAGAGTGCGGATGGTTGGCAGCTCTAACAAGCAATAGACAACAACAACACAGTGAGCGACACCGTGTGCACCCACTTGCACTCCCACAACTGGACAACTAACTTTCTGCATTCCGAGACAGACTGGTATGTTGCGTCTATCAAAGTAGAAACGTCACGTGTGAAAGAAGATAGATGCGTGTGTTCAGAGAGATGGACGTGACCCAGCACGGTTCTACTGTGTCACATGCAAGGCATGGCAACTGATTACAGGGTGTATTGAATAAGGAAAGGTCCTAATCATGGTTGAGCAAATAGGAATAGCATCGTACTAAAGTTGATATTAGTTATCATTGTCATGGTGTGCAAGACACTTTGCTAAACAAGATCCAGACAACACCAGGTGTGAGGATCGGCATACATATAGATGTACGCAGAGCAGTGCTAAGAAAATATGAGCAGCTGTGCAAACGTTAGGAAGCAGTTGTTGTAAATGGTTGGGCTGGGAGTTACTGCGGATGACGGAAGTTGGCGCCAGCGAAGACAGCATCCTCGCCAAGCTCCTCTTCAATTCTACACCACAGCAAGAAAAACATAAAACAGATGAGATGTCAGGATGCTGGCAGTTTACCTTGGTAGGAAGACAATCATTTGCATACATGCATACTGGGGCAAGAAAGAAGGGACTCCTGTGCTGGGGACAAAGGCACAGTCATATATTCCTATGCAGTATATTCAGCATGCAGATGCATGTAGCAACAACACACAGACACCAGTCAAGCACACAGAGTGACCGGCTTACCTCAACAATTGGTTGTACTTAGCAAGACGCTCTGATCGGCACGGAGCACCAGTCTTGATCTGTACACGAGAGTGTTGGGACAATTGGACACGAAGAAGAAGAGGCAAACTCAGGCATACATGCAGGCTCAGGCATACATGCAGGCTCAGGCATACATGCAGGCTCAGGCATACATGCAGGCTCAGGCATACATGCAGGCTCAGGCATACATGCAGGCTCAGGCATACATGCAGGCTCAGGCATACATGCAGGCTCAGGCATACATGCAGGCTCAGGCATACATGCAGGCTCAGGCATACATGCAGGCTCAGGCATACATGCAGGCTCAGGCATACATGCAGGCTCAGGCATACATGCAGGCTCAGGCATACATGCAGGCATACATGCAGGCTCAGGCATACATGCAGGCTGAACAATGGACCAAGTACGAAACAGATGTACATGTACTTTGATTTCTGCCATCCCAGGCACGCCAGAACCAGTCTGGTTGGTCAGGTCATCCCAGACCAACTTTTTACCATCAGTGCACTGCCTGCACCCAGCGGTCCTGCTTCTTGTGTCTTAACTTAAGCACAAGGCACAAAGCACAAAGGAAGCTCAAATTTCATGAGCATGCGTTCGAGGAAAGATGCACCCATGCACACACATGCACGCACACACACATACACACACACACAAGTGCACAAAAGACATACCTGTCCAGTGGAAAGTCCCACAACAAGGTCAGCAATGAACGTGTCCTCTGTCTCGCCACTGCGATGACTGACCATCACACCCCAACCTGCTTCGCGTGAAACTTGGCAACTGGATACAGCATAGGAAGTAGAAAAAAACAACATTAAAAAAGAATAGCACAGAAAGAAAACGTATCACCCACACTGTTGAAATAAAAACAACAACTCTCCTACTACCACGTGGATGCTAGTGGGATACTGTTGTATTGTGTAAACGTGTAATAGAACACAGTCAAAGATGTTTTTTGTCCATGTTATCCTGAGCCGAAGACACAAAGAAGTCTTGGGCAACGTCAGAGAGAGTTCATCTCCACCACCAGTCTCTTGCATCCATATAGCAAACACAGAGGTCTCCGTTATAGAACAGCAAGCAGCCGCAGCAGCGACTTCGAAGCACATTGCAGATTGCACTGGTCCTCTACCGCTACCACCTCGCACCATGAAACTGCCAATATTGCTTGCATTTAGTAGCCCCTGTTCAAACACCGCTACCTACCACTCAAGTTACAAAGAATGGAGTTCACCTCGCCGAGCAGCTGTCTGGCTACCTAGTCTTGTAGTTGATATCAAGCACGGTGCTGCTCAATGAAATCCAGTCGCGGTGTCACTCAAGTTTGCACCTCGCACCATTTCACAGTCCAGCGTTCACAGGTCTAGGGCTGCGCAACGACGGGATTTCATTGAGCAGCGCTGGCTGTAGGTTTCTATCAGTACCAGAGCTCTTCTCCAGTCCACCTCACACAAATTGAATACTTGGCAGTGTGCAGGGTATGGTGTACTTACGCTCGGATAGCCTCGGTAACGGAGCCAATCTGGTTGACCTTCAACAGGAGGCAGTTGCAAGCATTGCTGTCAATGGCAGTCTTGATTCTAACAGAGTGAGCAGAGTGGGCGAGAGAGAGAGAGAGAGAGAGAGAGAGAGAGAGAGAGAGAGAGAGAGAGAGAGAGAGAGAGAGAGAGAGTGTGTGGGAGAGATCAGGTGACAAATGAGATAAGAGGACTCGAACCCGGGACCTTTGGTTTAGGCCAGCAATGCTCTATCACTAGCACTAAGCTATGGTGTAGTCGTCATCTATACTACCATGGCCAATTGTGGCAAAACGAGGAAAAGAGAAGTGGAGGTCCAATTTCAGCAAGCTACATTTTCCACATACCATGCACTCTCCATGAAACCATGGAAGAACATTCTGCAGCTTTGCATGCATATCATGAAACTACATCAGAGAGAGAGAGAGAGAGAGAGAGAGAGAGAGAGAGAGAGAGAGAGTTAGAGAGACAGAGAGAGAGAGAGAGAGAGAGAGAGAGAGAGAGAGAGAGAGAGAGAGAGAGAGAGAGAGAGAGAGAGAGAGACAGAGAGTTAGAAGAGTAGGAAGCAAGTGATGTGGAGGCTTAGTGGAAATACATGTGTGGTACATGCAATAAGCTACTTCAAAGAACTATCGACCTTGACCGTGGCTGTGACAGGCACTGCACCACCTGCATGCCATCTCAGCAAGTATATCACCCACCCATATCCACATGCACACGCACGCACACACATCAGTGCAGTACCTGTTAGGGTTGGTGACTGTAAGGTCATCACTGCACACACAGACAGAAACAAAGATCACAAGAACGCAACACGACACAAAACCCATCAGGAAAGGGCTATATGGGAACGCAGTACCGCTCAGGCACCCACCGAGCACATTGTGTCACGCTGCTTTACACAGGAAAAGGAAGTACAGTATTTTTGCAATGTTTCAATGTACTTTATTCCCGTAGCTATGCAGAAGACGTTACTTCAGTAACGTCTGGCGCTAGCCAGGGTCCACACAGCTTTAATTTGGTATTTGTGTGTTTGTTTGTGTCACGCCTGGCGCTATCCGTATCTGACGGCAAAAAAGCATAGGATGTTATAAATTTTTCAATTCTCCTATTTTTTTTCAGGCATATCCTGGGATTCGAACCCGCACTATCGCCCTACATGCATTCCCCCATACACTTCGCATTCATACCCATTCTTCCAAGTTGCTTCACGTTATTATCTTGCGTTTGAAAGCCCTATTTGAATATTGCGGGCAGCTGTATGTGGCCAGCTGTGTTTGATGGTACGGTACGGTACGGGAGACGGTGTCGTATTACCCTCGATCGTACCTGTCCCGTACCTATCCCCTACCGTACCGTGCCATCAAAGACGGCTGGCCACAATGCATATTCAAATAGGGCTTTCAAATGCAAGATCACAATGTGAAACAACTTGGAAGAATTAGTATGTATGCGAAGTGTATCGGGGGATACATGCAGGGCGCGCGATAGTGTGGGTTCGAATCCCAGGTTACGTCTTAAAAAAAAAGAGGATTTTTTTAAAGAATTTATAACATCCCTATGCTTTTTTTTGTCTAGGTCATCAAGGCAAAAATGCATAGCGTAGGGCCCTGAGCTTCCAAGCTCTCTCGTTTCGGGTACATGATGGTACTTTCAGTACATTTCTTTCATACCTAAGTTTCAATAGCCGCACAAACAATGCCAGACATCATCCAATGGGGAACTGATTTTCTGAACCTAAAATGTCTGTTCAGCTAACTAAGTTACTTGGTCTGATGAAATAATACATCAAAAAATTCTAAAATTCTAGTACATGTACAACAAAACAGAAAGGTTCCAGGCTGTCCAAAAGAGTGCTCAATGACCGAGGGCAGAGCTACTTACAACAAGTAGAAAGGGATGAAAAATTCGTTTGCGACTCCGAGTTTCACGCACTAAGCGATCATCAGTTGTCTATGATCGCCTACAATAGTGTGTGAAACTCTGAGTCACAACGAATGTTTCATCCTCTTCGACTTGTTGCAAAATTATACTAGTAGAGTCCATACACTCCCTCTGTATGCGCACAAATCAAGTCTTACCCGACAATCTGAATTTGGACAGAGCCGGTCAGGTCGGACCAGGATTGCCAGTCGTCCTGATCAAAAGCATCCTCAATGGATACAACTACGGAGGGAAGAATACACCAAAAACAAAAACAAAAACTTGTGAGCCAGGACCGTACAGTTTTCTTCCTCGTAGCGGGGCCATTGCGTTACTTGGCCGTTTTGAATTGACCAAAACTGCTCAGTTGTGAGTGTGTCCACATAATGGCATCACTAAAAACAAGTAGATGGACAGACAAGATATGGGTGGGCTTGTCAACTAGCAACAGCTCAACTGAGCTGTTATTAGCACATTCTCACAGTGTTTTATATCACAAATAGCTATATGCAAACTGGATCGTCGTTGCAAAGCAAAACACTTTAGACCAGTCAAACTTCATCAGTACAGACTGGAGAGCATAAGTGAAAGAAATGCCCATGACATGGCCTACCTGGATAGTCCTTGATAAAGCTGCGGTACAGGTCAGCAAGTGCAGTGCCTGATAGCTGTGAGGCAGCAAACATGTACAGGTCAGGACAAGTAGCACAGACACACACACAAGCACGCATGTACACACACAGACAGACGCATGCACACACACGGACAGACAGACAGACAGATACACCCAAGCATGCACACACACAGATACACACGCACAGAGGTCAGCAAGCAACAAAGCACCGTCACTACATGTAGAGACAGCCAGCAGTTGACCAAACCTTGTCTGATCAACTTGCCGTATGCAATTACACATACAAAAGCCTGCAGGCACCCCACCCTGCACGTACACATTCAAGTGTGGTGCGACCGCCCCGCACACCTTATACAAGCGAGCAAAAGCACACACAATAGCACCATCAGAAAACGACGTACGAAGTCTGCTGGGTTTGAGTCCTTGTTCTTGAAATCCAAGTCGTACTTGCCATCACGGTAGAACTCTAGAAGCAACAGGATCGAGGAATAACATACACACATTGCACATATCCATCAATACAATATAAGAACAACACACTGATGATAAAATGACAACAAGCACCAGCAAAAGACAAACTGGCACTTGCCAAAAGCAGCCTTGCAAGTGCAGTGCGAAGAGCGAAGCGAGAAACGCCCAGGGAAAGCAGTGCTACAACAACTTTCGTTACCCCGGTCGTTGCAGGTACGAGTGGACATGAGCGTACATGCACAGGATTACAGGTCAGGATTACAGATGACACAACAATGAGGAATGAGCCCAATGCGCATTGCCAAATATGGAAGGTGTGAGCAACGCATGCGAGTAGGCTGGGATCAGCAATCCACTGTTCAAACCACCCCAGGCGGTCATGACCATGCCGTGTGGGGTGTCTATGGTACAAATTACGTCATTGCGCAATGGGCTTATTAATTCATGCAGTACTACTGACTGTACACAGTCACGCTTACCGGATGCAGCCACGTCCATGGCAATCTGCACTTTGCCAGTGTATCCGGCATCAGCAATGGCTGACTGCAGAAGGTCAAGACCTGTAAACGCAGGCAAGCGCCGACAAAGAAACAGACAAGAAAAAAAGAGGCTGAAAGGTGTGATGGCAGCTACCCAAACAGTTGAGGCAGGCAGACAGGCAATAATATACTATCTTTGCTCCTCCATTGAGCTACCGGATTTCAGCCACTTCAACCTAGCCGGGATATATTACTGGCATTTCTGGGAAAGCAGAGTGCGGTGAGGAAATCAATTGCAAGCTAAATCACCACAATGACTTCTCAGATCACGCAGAAAACATTGTACATGTATTGGCATCACGACCATGTCTACAAGTAGCTGAGGTGCCTCTGCTACAGGTACGGAGCTTCATAAAATTTCATAGCATAGCATGACATTGGCATGCGAAGAACCAAGGTCAATGTTGTCAGGTGGAGCCATAATCTGATACAGTCAGACCTCGCATAATCGTACATATCCGTTTTCCACAAAAATATCCGGATAGGCGAGGGAATCGGATAATCGAACACACATACTGTACGTATGCGTGGCATATGCTGTAAATCGGCAACCAACGATTTTCTTCCGGATTGCGAGGGATCCGGATAAAAGAGGACTGGCTAAGCGAGGTCTGACTCTATACAAATAGAAACACAAGAAATGTCAATATGTTATTACCTTCACGGTTGTCTAGAATGTTTGGTGCAAAACCACCTTCGTCACCAACGTTGGTAGCTGTGGACATCAAAAGCAAAGAAGAGAATGTTATAACAAGAAGCAAAGCAGAATTCTGTGCAAAGGAAGGCAACCATGAATAACAGACATGTCCGAAGAGAAATTTTAGTAAATAAGAATATGAAAAAGACGCGACATTCCAACAGCCCGCAATCGGCTATCAAGAGTCATCTGTCCGTTAGTGATAGTTGTCGTGACTTGTACAGAGATGATGTTTTCTCAGTTTTGGCCCGTGGCAGATCTGTATTACATTTGTCTGTTTTGGAAGCGTTATATATCCGTAAGTTGTCTCCTGAACTATGTGTTCAGAAGGAAAATGTTTTGTCGCTGCAGTTGCTTGGCGCTAATCCTCGTGAAAGTGTGAGGAATGCTTCTCCTCACTGATGTTTTCATTATGTTTTAGTCATTTCTTCACCTTCACCCTGTGTTTGACCTGTTCTGCTGAATTTAATTTTTTTCCCACACGTATGGCGTGAGGTTCTCCATCTTTGCTTTTGCTGTAGCTCTATAAATTGCTGTATTTTGACATTTTTCCATTATTCCCTGTACTTACCCATGATGAGAAGGGAGCGAAAACGTTCGGTTACCAAATTGGCTTACTTGACTGTGTGGATTGCGTCGGTGCTGTCACCTTTTCTTTCGAAATTGGATACGCCTCCAATTTTTTTCCTTAAATAAGAATACGATCAGCCAAACTACTGTGCCGGTAGCATTGCTCCTAAATGTAGGACCTGTATTTACTCATCAAGCTGCGTCGCAGCTGATAATTATGTGACCCGCAACAAGAGTTACAAACAAACTTCCAACATGCTCCCCACTTGCAATGTGAGAGGAAGAATTCTCCAAAACGTCCACGTTTGAGTTTGAACCCAAGCGGGAAAAGGCCTTAGGCCTGTGGGGATTGCCGTATCAAAAGTTCCCTAATGATAATAACCCTTACTGCAGTCCAATCTGCAGGCCATAGCTCTACTCACCATCCTGGCCATACTTGGCCTTGATCACCTTCTTCAGGTGCTGGTAGATCTCAGCGCCCATGCGCATGGCTTCAGAGAACGTTTTTGCACCTAGAAAGCAGCCGGAACATGTCGAGCATAGTAAGCCATCAATTACTAAACATCACTTAATTAATCAAACAAACACCAGGTTCTGCTGCTAATGCAGCCAAGACACAGACACCGGATACAAACACCAATCTGAAGTGAGCACAGAAGCTGCGTGCAGAGCATTAGAGAGATCAACCGGCAAGCACTGAAGTTGAAAGCATCTGAGAATATCTCCACAAGGGGTAAACATCTAGTGTACTGCTTCTGCTAACCAGAACTAGGCAAGTGACCATTATCGGCAATATGCATTGACAGCACGGCCAGGCTGCAGCACGAGCAAAGCGAAACTCCACCGCTGCGTCACCCCTTACCAGTTGGCAAGATCATAAACTCCTGCATTGCCAGCTTGTTGCCAGCATGAGATCCGCCGTTGATTACATTGAACGCCTGCAAAGTGTACAACAGTGCACATTGTAGCAGAGACGACAACAGACTGATTACTTCAAAGCGCTACAGTTTCCTTGCCATCAGCACTATCATTTCGCTTCTGCCCGCCACCACATTGCGTAATGGCCGAGTCGGTCGAACTTCACATTACTTATTTAGCTTGATTTCTAGGTGCTGTACTGATGAGCACATACGCACAGGAGACAAATGAGATACGAGAACATTCCAGTACTCTTGGCCGGGCTAGAGCATAACAGAATCCAGTACTGCAGCCCAGGGCTATGGCAAATTCCAGCATGCATCGCACAGGATAGAGTTCCTCATCAGATCAGAAGTAGCATGTAAGACTTACAGGGCAAGGCAGAATGATACGGGAGGTACCAGCCAGCGAGGCGATGTAGCGATACAACGGAACGCCCTGAACAGGATTAGAGGCAAACACACACAAGAATCATACAGCCGCTATTGAACCATTCAAACACATACAATACAGTAAGCTAAGTACCCCAGTAAGTTCACCACCGCCACCACCACCACCACCACCAGGCACCAGCATCACCACCGCCACCACAACCAGGCACCACCACCACCACCACACAGAAACCATCATGAACACTTCACCACCTGCAACGTAGGCGTACAGAGATACTTCCAAGGGGTTGTTCCCAAAATCATGGCTTACCTTTTCACCGGCACCGGCCTTGCACACAGCCATCGACACACCAAGAATGGCGTTGGCACCAAGAACAGCTGAGCAACAGCACCAGAAGACACAATCAGTACAGTGATACGAGTACATACGGTGCAGGAACGCAATGGGACACTAGAGAGGTTCCGGGGTACGATTTTCCGTGCCAAAATCCGTATGGGCGCTACGGATTTTTTCCAGGCGTGCTCCATACGATTTTTCGGCACGGAGAATCCGTGTGGACTGGCTTTCATACGAACCATGTTTTGTATGGAGATTTTGCGTCATCGAGTGCAGAAAGATTTTTCGCGTACAAATTTGGTACGAGAAACATCGATTTTCCGCGGGAAGTTTTGATTTCGGTACAAATTTTCAAAATAAAAAAGCATAGTGCGGGAATGTGACGTGTTTGCGATCGTAACCTAGGCAATGACGGCAAACACATAAGTTCCGTACCCGGAACTTTTCACTGCTCGAAAACGACGTATAAAAATCCGTAGCACCTCCACGGATTTTGGCACGAAAAGTCGTACTCCGGAACCTCCCTACTACTACAATCCTACTCCGCTTATCCCGACACTTCTGGGCAAGTTGCGTCCAATGTGTGTTCTGAAATGCCATATCAGTCTCAATAAGCGAAATCTCATTGTCAAAAGCATCCTTAGTATAGTTGGGTGGGTGTGGTGGCACAAGTATGCGCTGCCACGTACAGTGATCTTTTGCGCCATAACAGCACACCCAGTCACACAATGCTATAAACATGACTCAGTTCCATTTGCAGGGAAAGGAAGTCTTACATTTGTTCTCTGTTCCATCCAGCTTCAGCATCAGCTCATCAATCTCTTTCTGGCTGGTGACATCAAGGCCCTGTACGTGACATAGGAAGCAAAGCACAAGTAATGAGACCTTGCTCCAAGAGTACTTGCTTGTCCAGGAACCAAAGATAGCCCATTCACACATCCCACATTATAGAAGCCGAGCAGGTACACGTACGATCACACTGACACAGTAGGAAAGGGACTTACTGACGCAATCAGAGCAGGTGCAATGGTGTCATTGATGTTGGCCAGTGCCTTCGACACACCTGCACAGGGAGCAAAGTTAGTCACCTCAGTAAGATCTCAGGCTAGATGATCTACGTGCACACCTTGATGCAAACAGAAATCCAGTACAAGTAAGTCGAATGTGGACCCAAGTCACCCAACACAAAGGTACTCTAGTTTCGGAGTATAGGCATCAACAGCGAGAACGGGCCCAGGACATCCAACAAGTTACAATGAAGATAGCCAGCATACCTTTGCCAAGAAACACCTTTGGGTCCTTGTCACGCAGCTCCAGCGCTTCATAGATACCGGTCGAGGCTCCGGATGGGACAGCAGCACGGAACACACCTGACAAACACACAGCATTGGAATTATAAACACCCGGAGACACCTAAGCAGCCGAACAGTGTTGAAAATGATAGTTCTGGAAAAGCAGGACAACTAACTATCTACACAAGACTACAGCTGCATAGTACCAACACAAGCCTGCGGACCAACATGCAACGTAAGTCCAGGCTGTGCATGAGGTGACATGGGAATCACAAGCAATACTGATTTATCGACCATGTGCGAGTGTGTGTGTGTGTGTGTGTGTGTGTGTGTGTGTGTGTGTGTGTGTGTGTGTGTGTGTGTGTGTGTGTGTGTGTGAGAGTGTGTGTGTGTGTGTGTGTGTGTGTGAGAGAGAGAGAGAGAGAGATGGAGAAAGATAGGTAGATACTAGATACAGAGATAGAGGAAGGGAGGGAGAGAGAGAGAGAGATAGAGAGAAAGTGAGAGAGAGAGAGAGTGAGAGAGAGACAGAGAGACGGATAGCGAGAGCACTGCCTGTACAATGACATGTATACCTTTGCCAGTGTGAACATCAACCTCGACGGTGGGATTGCCGCGGCTGTCAAAGATCTGACGGGCGTGGACGCGAGAGATTGCCATCGTGTCTGTGCAGTACGGCATAAACGAGCAACATAACTATATCGTGAACACCTGGCAGATAAATGTTGGAATAGAGTCATTTAAATGATGTGACAACACAAAACTCGTGAAGAACACAGAGTTATCGCCAAAGACATCTGACCGCGCAATGCAACAAGCAGTTTTTTTTCCATAAAACGGAATGGCCCTTGTGAAGCCGAAGTCGGAGTTCTTTGGCAAAACGGCACTTGTTAGAAATCACACATAGAGAATAGTCTGTGCAAACCTTCCAATACAGCGATAGGGGATTGAACGCTTTATTAATTTTTTCTGGGTACTGCCGACCATTTTTCAAAAACATCCCCAAAAAGGGATTTGCTCCATCAAGACAGATTGATGATAGTTACAATGCATATCACAATACTGATATACAGTCGTGGCCAAAGAACAACTGATCAGCCGTTTCACTACGCGACCACCAGATGCCACTACCTACGATGTCTAATAGATGTGCATGGTGTAGGCAGTAGGTGCAAGTGACTCGATATACGTATGGATTATACCATGAGTGCGAGGGGTAAACCGACGAATATTTTTACGAGTGCGTTAGCACGATTTACGCTGTAACTCGTACTGCATACTACAAGTACCAAAATCGATCGCAATTTCCGCAATTTTACCACAATATTCTCGCAATTTCTGACAAAATCCGCAATATTATTCCCCACAATTTGTGGCATTTTACCTCTCAACTTTTCCGCAATATTTCCGAAATTTCTCCGCAAGTTCCTGGAGGGACAGGCTGATTGGCTGAAATCGCCCAAATCGTATTGTGCCATGGAATAATCAATACATGTATTCTCTTCGCAAATCTTGCTTTTGACCAACCAGATACGTAGATCACGAATACCCCGTCGTTGTTGTCACCCGCACCTACGTTGTACATGCACACAATATTTCCACCCTGGGCGGAAACGAACGTCCCACGCAAATTTCCAAATCCTTTCCATTTCTATATTAATAGCATTACACCTCGATTAATTCCTCGAGGCAGACGCACTACAATTGTGGTACATGTACATTGGATTCAATTCAAAACAGAACATTCAATTGCATGTACAAAATATACCTTAGTTACGGGGAGGGTTCGTTACTCGGCAACGGTCGGAAGTTCCCCAAACTGGAAGAGATTGAAAAGTAAGAAAAGGGAACACGATCGTGAGAACGCTAGATGAAGAAAAGGATGCCAATGTTTCGCTCCTCTGCCTTACTTCGAAATGGCTTGTCGACTCAAAACAACTAACTTTGTACTGTCCAAGGTCAAACTCACTATTCACACTCGGTTCCTCTCTCATCCTCCAGATCACAGAAAATGCAAGTGTGACACGCAAGCGTGACCCTGATTTTTGGGCCCAGTGCATGCCTTGCACGTGCAGCGGCGGCATAGTAGCATGCATGCAGCGTTGCACTTGCAGCATGCGTGCACGTGTGGGAATCGCTGTACGTACAGCTACAGCTAGCTACGGATTATCCATACTATACACAGCTAGTGCATGCGGTGTGGCGATATCTTATGTAGCTGCTGTCACGTCGATCACTCTTCCAAAAATACTACAATTTGTAAGTCTTGTACTTATTGATCTTGTAGTTGTACTTGTAGGCTTGTGAGAGTAAACATGGTAAATGGGAGCTTATAATTATTATACTGTTGGCAATACAAGTACAATGCAGTAGTGTTAAAGACGATTCAACGATTCGTCTCCGCTCTTGACCACAGTCCTGCACATACTAGCACTAGTACTAGTAGTAGTACCAAGAGTCCATAAACAGAATTAATCTGATATTTATGGACTCTTGGTAATACTAGTACGAGTAGTAGATCGTGTGAAAAAGAAAGACAAAATACAGCCTATCCTTGAACCTGGACCTTCAGGCTTTCAGGGTAGGGTGGGCTTCGTGGTGGTACAGTGTACATAATTATGCCGGTAGGGCTATGATTGTATGACTGTAATGTTTTCGTCTTCCAGTCTCCAACAAGCCCAAGCCCAAGGCCAAGGCTTCCTTGTAGTTGTTGCACAATACTTTCTCTGCACTTGGTCTTGCACTTGCAGTCAGTACCACTACACCGTGTCCATGTCCAGTGCCACTTCCTGCAGGCTCGATATGACCATACTCCACTCTGATTTAGCCACCCACACTAGTAGCAAGTATTACCTTCACTGGGGGCAGGGGTACCTGCAGTTTGATCCCAGGACGGATACCCTGATGCCGTCAATCCTTTTTCTGCACCTTGTCCTCACCCACTTACTGAGGTGTGGTGAGCCCATAAGTGGGATCATTTTCAAGTCCACCCAGAGTTTTGGGGATTTCAGGGGGTGTCGGCCGTTGGGCGGTTCAATAGCCAATTGAGTCATCTTTCCAAGATTCCTTTTGAGTCTCTCTCCCCTCTCCCGGGGAGACCCACGTGACCAGTTTTGGCAGTGAGCAACAAGTACAAGTACAAGTACTCCATAGTCCATACTACTTTACTTACTACTACTAGCCATTCAATACCGGTCCATATCCGTCACACGTGCACATGTGCACACCGGATGTTGCGCAAGTGCTTGTACTTCGTCTCCGATGTTGTGCAACAACAATAATGCAATGCCAACGGAGACTTGTACATTCACGCCTTGAAATGAGTTAGGTTGCGGCAGTGCGGACGCTACATAGCAATCATATTTCTAGTCCACGATGAATGCATGTGCATGTTTCACAACACGGTGCGAGACGTCGTTCCTCTGAGAAACAAAAAAACATAAAGGATGAAAAGGATTTTAAAACTGTACGAGTAGTCTGTGGTGAAGCAGTGTGTGACTCCCGGTATAAAACAGGTCCTCGCGGTGGTTATGTCAGAGTCCGTGTGAGGGGAAGCTGGCAAGTGACCAGGTGACTGACTACGCCTAACCTAAATCATGGAAATGGGACACCACTTGTTGAGCACCCAAAAGAGTAGCATGAGGGGCATAAACGTATAACGTTAATTAAACTTAAAGAAGAGGTATGTGCCGCAAATAATTCTGTAGCGGGGATAGAAACGGTTTACAGACAAAAGATGATGCAAGCAGATATAAACAGACAAGTTAGTTTAGAACCTCCGACTCGTTCGCAGTAACGTAAGTCATGTACATGTACATTGTACAATGACATACCATCGTGCTGCTGATAAAGCGGAACATGTAGTTTGTAGATTGAGTTAAAAACACTTTTTTTTTAAAGACAGTGCCACCCTGTTTTTGTCTAAGCTGTTCTCACGGCAATGATAATTCACCGACAGCTCAGGCACACGCCATCAGCGATGCTGGTACCAGCAAGCAGCACATAAGAAACTACTAGAAAGACGTAACGCCGGATGCACTGCATGTACATTGTAACTCACTGAAGACTGAATACCACGTGTTGGCACTGAGAGTGCTAATTCCAGCAATAAAGCGTAAAAGCATGCACGGGCCAAGAACACATCTTTTTAGATTAAAAAATATACAGGGCACCAAAGTTGTTGTGCAGAATAGCCTTGCTACTGCTGCTGATGGTGTGGTGGTAGAAACCCACCTGATGGCTGTGGCTGAAATTGATGATTTACCACACTGCTGGCTTGTTCGGCTGCAGCTGCTGTGGCAAAATGAGTGATGAGATGCTGCTGTTGTTGTGGCTGCTGCGGTAGTTGTGGTTGTTGCTGAAGCGGCTGCTGTTGTTGAGTTGATAGAGCATGGGGCTGGCATGGTAGTTGCTGATGTAAGACTGGCTGTATGTGCTGCTGCTGATGATGAAGATGAGCAACTTGGGGTGAGGATACTGGCTGTGCAGTCACTGCCGCCACTCCACTTCCCACTAGCTGCTGGGAGTACATGGCTGGTTGAGCCGGGATCGGATTGTGCTGCTGGTATTTTTGCTGTTGCTGTTCCTGCGGATGCCCGTACGGCTGTTGTGCTGGAAGTGCTTGATGCTGCAACAGTATTGGACTAGAAATATACGCGACTGGTTGATATGGCAAAGTAGCTGCTGCTGCTGCTGCTGGTGCTGGTGCTGCCAGTGCTGTTAGCTGTTGCTGCAGGCTAGCAGCTGGAGGATTGCTTGCCTGGGATTGTGAAACTGGTATGACTGGTGGAGCGGGTACCAATGCACCCCTTACCCCTACTGGCACTGATGTTCCTACTAATGACAGGGGTTGCAGCTGCTGCTGCTGATGATGATGTTGTTGTTGTTGTTGTTTTTGTTGTTGTTGTTGTTGTTGTTGTTGTTGTCGCTGCCGCTGTTGTGGACTAGTGTGCGCAACACCGGGAACATTCCGACCAGCAGCTCCAGCGGAGTTAGCAGTCCAACTCTGCACTGGTTTAGGCTGTGATTGGGCTACAATGCCTAAAACAATAACAACGACGACGACGACAACAACCACAACAACAACAACAACAACAACAACAACATACACACACAGTTATACAACCAACAAGACATGCATCAACTGTCTAAAGTGAAGAAACAGACAGCAGTCCACCCAATATGTTCTTGTCAATCTACTTGTAGTGAAGGTGAATACAGTCAGACCCCTCGCCATCCGGAAGAACATCGTTGGTTACCGATTTACAACACATGTTATGCATGCATACAGTATGTGTATTCGATTATCCGGTTCCCTCGCCTGTCAGGATATTTTGTGGAAAACGGATGTGGTGCGGGTAAGCGAGGTCTGACTGTACATGTCCAGGACCAGTCACAAAGGGCTGACAGTACAGGTCCAAGGACCAGTCACAAAGGTCTGACTGTACAGGTCCAGGACCAGTCACAAAGGGCTGACAGTACAGGTCCAAGGACCAGTCACAAAGGACCAACTCAAATGGCATTAGCCTGTAGATCAACACACCAGCACCATGCCGTCGACCTTCCATATTTTCCGTATTTGTACGGAAAAAGCACTCCTTCGTCCGCACCACGGAATTCGAACAGATTGGTACCGGAAATCGAAAAGGATCGATCAGCTGAGTAGAAGCACGGCAAGCGCAAGCTGAGCCACACATATTCGTGTACCGAAGTGAGTGCATGCCGTGCTATGACTACATGTGGCACAAACTGAATCATATCGTGAGTACAAGTCACACATGTTCTGCACTACTAGAGACGTGCATGTGCATGTCAGACAAGACAAACACACACACAAACAATACATGTGCATGTCAGACAAGACTAACACACACACAATCCATAGCACTACATACGGCAGTACATTAGTGTACTCAAAAACACTGCAAAATACGGAAAATCAGAAGTCCAAGTAATTGGCAAATACGCACAACAGACCCCGTTGTGTGGCAGCTCTGCCAGGGCCACACAGACGACAACCAACCGGAAGCTATGCACACTCAGACTACGGAGGTATTCACCTCAGTCCCACCATATACTGCAGCAATACACACCCCTACAATGTACACAGACACACATACACATACCCATAGACACCCTACCCACCCACCCACACACAGACATAGACACCCCCTCCCCCCCCCCCCCCCCCACACACACACGATAAGCCATGCAATGAGCCAGCGTACACTGGCAGACTCTCAGCTCCCGCAACTCACCGGCAGGCATGGCATGGGCATGCCGCTGCTGCTGTGGCTGCGGCTGGTGATCGCTGGCCGGTATTGCAGACGGCGCAGCAGGTTGTGCTTGATCAGTTGTGCCTGGCTGTACAACCTCCTGCATATACCTATGCACAGCAATGGGAAATGTACATGTGGCTCAGTACTGCTCAGTATAACATTAGATCATTAGCATCACCACAGGTGAACAGAAGTAGGGAGGGAAGGGGCTCTGCTTCAGACTAGCAGTGTTTTTCTTCTTCTTCTTCTTCTTCTTCTTCTTCTTCTTCTTCTTCTTCTTCTTCTTCTTCTTCTTCTTCTTCTTCTTCTTCTTCTTCTTCTTCTTCTTCTTCTTCTTCTTCTTCTTCTTCTTCTTCTTCTTCTTCTTCTTCTTGATCGCCAACCTTGCCAACCTCTCGTAGTCACTTGTTCTTGTCGAATCGTTATTTTCATAGCCTACTCGACATTCGCCCTACAAATTACCATACATCACAACGCAACTACCTGTACATGACACACCATACCATACAACCACACCCCAACTGTACTGGGGACCTATCTCTTCGAATTGCATTATATGAGTTTCTTTTTCCTTTTTTCTTTACCCGTTACTGTCTAAAAAGCAGTCGAAACGGTTTTTATCCACCATTTGATGGTGAGTTTTCCCTTCTTCTTCTTCTTCTTCTTCTTCTTCTTCTTCTTCTTCTTCTTCTTCTTAACTTAAAAACAGCGCCAAATAAGAAGGAACTGCAGAAACGCAGCACTAAATTCCAGCTACGTTATCTGGCTGAGGCGACGTGAGAAGGCTTGGCGCGACTGGCCACTGTTTTAAAAGTCCCCGAGAGGCCGTTTGTTGGCACTTGGTTGGCGGACAGCCACCCAGCGAGGATAGTTGGGTACCCTTCAAATCTTGGTTTTAACTCGCCACACCGGCTTCTAAAGGGCCGGGGGTGGGTGTTCGCCAACCAAGTCGAGCTTTCGTTAGTTTTTTTTCGTTTTTCTAGTTTACTTGCTTGTCCTGCGCCGCGCTGGAGCGAGTCTATCAGTAGATGCTTTCGTCGCATAGAGCTACTATTGCACAAAGCCACAACACTGCGCGCTGCCATTCGCTGTATGCTTTCGCTGCACCAAGCTGCTGTTTAGCTGCAAGACGCCACAACACAACTTCACTACAACAGTCTCGTCCACAACTTCACTACAAGAGTCCCGTCCATATTGCACTACGCTGAGCACTGGCCTGCTCCCGCTCTGAAGAGGTTTTTAGCCTTCACCGTTTTTGCTCAACCTCAGGCATTGGCCCACAGTGGCATCCGCTTCCTTTTTTCTTTTTCTTTTCTCCTTTTACTTTCTCCGTCACTGCCTAAAAAACAGTCGAGACGGTTTTTTTACCCACCAGTTTTATTGGTGCGAATTACTTTCCTTCTTCTTCTTCTTCTTCTTCTTCTTCTTCTTCTTCTTCTTCTTCTTCTTCTTCTTCTTCTTCTTCTTCTTCTTCTTCTTCTTCTTCTTCTTCTTCTTCTTCTTCTTCTTCTTCTTCTTCTTCTTCTTCTTCTTCTTCTTCAGGGCAGATATACCTGGCGCCACGACAACGTACTGAAATGCATAGTAAAACTAGTAAACGAAACCATCCAAACTTATCAAAAGGCCACAGCATCAGCAGAAACGCAGAGTAAACAGAAGAGAATTGATTACATAACTTTCTGCAAGGCAGGAGAGAATCTCCCCAAACAGCCCCCCTCCCAACGCAAACGGCTAAATGACCAATTCGTAACTAGCTCAGCAGACTGGCAGGTCCTGGTGGACATGAAGGATGAGAAACTTGTTTTCCCCCACTTCATAGCACCTACAACCTGTCGTCCAGACATAGTGCTCTTCTCCAAAGAATTGAGAAGGGTTCTGTGGCTGGAACTCACGGTATGTAGTGAAGATCGCTTTGCACAATCGCGCGAAATCAAAATCGAACGCTATCGTCACCTTCATAGCGCGTGTGTAAGGAATGGCTGGGATACGGAAAGTCACACAGCAGAGGTGGGAGCGAGAGGCGCCATATCCACCAGCTTGGATTCCTTCGCGAGATCCTTGCGCTGCACTAAGGAACAGCGCAGGTTCTTGCGGAGGAATTGTCACCAAGCAGCGCTGAACTCAAGCTATGTCCTATGGCTAAGGCGAAGGGAGCGAACATGGCGCGACTGGCCGTTGTATTAAAACTGTTTGGTGAACCTGTTGTAGAGCACTTGGTGGGCGATCGGCCACCCAGCGAGGATAGTTGGACGTCCTTAAAATCAAGATTTGAACTCGCCATTCCGGCCTCTAAAGGGCCGGGGGTGGACGATCGCCAACCTTGCCAACCTCTCGTAGTCACTTGTTCTTGTCGAATCGTTATTTTCATAGCCTACTCGACATTCGCCCTACAAATTACCATACATCACAACTCAACTACCTGTACATGACACACCATACCATACGGACACAACCACACCCCAACTGTACTGGGGGCCTATCTCTTCGAATTGCATTATATGAGTTTCTTTTTCCTTTTTTTCTTTACCCGTTACTGTCTAAAAAGCAGTCGAAACGGTTTTTATCCACCATTTGATGGTGAGCATTTCCCTTCTTCTTCTTCTTCTTCTTCTTCTTCTTCTTCTTCTTCTTCTTCTTCTTCTTCTTCTTCTTCTTCTTCTTCTTCTTCTTCTTCTTCTTCTTCTTCTTCTTCTTCTTCTTCTTCTTCTTCTTCTTCTTCTTCTTCTTCTTCTTCTTCTTCTTCTTCTTCTTCTTCTTCTTCTTCTCGCAGAGATGCTGGCCGGAGGGGGCGAAAGCGGCCGGAGGATGACCCCTCACTGGGCTGCACACCAAGCCCAGAACCTGTAACTGTTTCAACAACCCGGGAAGAGTGTGAGTCTGGTAATGACGCGTCACGGCCGATACCCGCTCACACTTCCCCTAGCTCGCAGCCAGCTGCAGGGGTGTGCGATAGGTGCGGAAGCACCATTCGCCACCGATTCAATTTAAGCCGTCACTATCAGACGAAGAAATGTTTAGCTGCATGGAAAGGGGCTGCGCCTGCAGCACAGCACAAGCACACGAAAGCAAAAGCATGTACGCGTACTTCGAGTACAACCAACACAAAGCCATGTCTACATTGTGCAAAGCCTATATCTAGTTCAAACATGGCTCGACATCTGAAATCTTGCCGGGCTTTTCAGGCCAAGGTCGTCGATGAACCGCTCACTCCAACCAGGAGTAGTAAGACGGTCGTTGCCACTGCAATCAGCCCGCAATCCCAGCACAGTGCTGATGGCGACGAAGAAGAGAAGTTGGAGCATGGCTCCCAGAATGTGCTAGACCACAAAAGCCCAGAGCAGGACAGTAGCAAGCTCAATCTTCCCAAGTCAAGCCCGGCCTGGGAAAAAACAAACACACAACTAGAACAACATATCACACGCCTGTTTCCATTGTCAAAAATACGAAAAAACGATCCAGACGATTCACTTGATCAGATTACCTCGTTCCTCAGATTCTTCTTCCTCGATCACACCATCTCAGAACCCACCCCAGAGCGAAGGTCGAAGAAGCCATGTCAGTCCAAATGCCTAACTGAGCTCTACATCAAACGCCGTGCACTGCGTAAGCAATATCGAAGGAGAGATAGGCTTGCCGTCCATGAGGTTGAGACCATCAGATCAGACTACAACCGTGTGCAAAAAGACATCAAGAAACTGAGAAAGATCATCCAAATACAAGAGCAAGACCGTGAAGCGCAGAAACAGCGGACGGCCTTTCTTAAGGACCCTTACGGGTTTGCAAAACGCATGTCCCAAAGCAGATCACGTGTAACACCAACTTTCTCGGAACAGGCCTGCTTTGAGTATTTCTCCAAACTTTATGAAGATCCCTCTCGTGAGCAAATTTTCTCGGATCCAGATTTCTGTCCAGCTACGAGTAAACCGTCCACACCACTATCTGATAACAGCCCCAGTTGGAAAGCCTTCCAGAACACTCTGAAAAAATGTAGAAACAAATCTGCAGCCGGTCCAAACGGTATTCCATACATAGTGTGGAAAAAGTGCAAATGTCTGCACGGCATTCTTTTCAATATCTTCGAGAAAGTCTGGAAGACAGGATCCATTCCGCTGTCTTGGCAGTGCGCCTCAGTAACGCTTCTCGCAAAAAGTGACAATGACTCTGACCCGGCGAAATTTCGCCCAATTGCCCTATCCAACTGTGACGGCAAGATTTTCTTCGCCATGTTGTCAAAAGTTCTGACTCGCCACATGCTGACGAATGGGTATTTTGACGGCATGACCCAGAAAGGCTTCTTGCCGGGTATGTCCGGTTGTATTGAACACGCCACTCTTTGTCACGAGGCCATGAAAGACGCCAAACGCCACAAGCGTTCGATTGCCATGGTATGGATCGATTTGAAGAACGCCTTTGGCTCAGTAAAACATAATCTGATCCAGAGGGCACTGCAACGCTACCACATCCCGCTGAAAATCAGGAACCTTGTTTACTCTTACTATGAGCGTCTGACAGCATTCATTAAAAGACCACTCACTCAGACCTTCCGGTACAGCATCGGCGTATTTCAAGGTTGCCCACTTTCCCCTATTCTCTTCAACATCTGTTTCCAAATTCTACTTGATTCTCTTCAGACCAAACCGATCCAAGCCCTTTCGTACAGTTTCCGTGACACAACTGTCACTGCTTCGAACACTGGATTCGCCGACGATTTAGCAGTCTTCAGCAATCGAACTCATGGTGCGCAGAAGAAGTTAGATCTGGTTGATAGTTTCCTTGCCTGGTCAAAAATGCAGGCGGCCCCTCACAAATGCAGGTCGTACGCAGCCAAATTGACCAACAACAAATACACCTGCTTTGACCCCGCACTCAGAATATCGGAAACTCCAATACCAGCTCTAAACGGCCAACAATTCAAGTTTCTAGGCAGGATGCTAACAGATACAGTAGGTGAGATAACGCAACGCGAAGACCTCATAAACTCCACAAGATGCCTACTAAAGACAGTTGCCGAGACCAGACTGTACGGACACCAGAAGTTGTGGCTCTACCAGCATCAAATCATCCCCAAAATAGCATGGCAGCTCGAGATACTTGATCTCAGCCACAGTTTCGCCAAACTCCTACACAGAATTTGCCTTCCATTCTTAAAGAAATGGGCAGGCTTGCCCAGACCCGCAGCACCAGCAATACTCTTCATCGGCGCTCGGGAGCGCTTCGGCCTACGTTTAACGTACATCCCTACGCTATGGAAGCAACGACAGGTCATTAGATGGAATATCATCAAGAACAGCAGCGACAAGAACATGGCAAACCTGTACCAACATCACAGCAAACAACAGTATCTGCTCACAAGACAATACTCCGCAATAAAAGAAATGGAATGTGCCGAGGCAGCGATCTCTGAAGCTAGTCCAACTAACCTCCAGCAAGGCAGGGCAGGACTCGGCTTTAGGCATGACAAACAAGAGAAAATCAAACCTAGAAAACAAATACTCAATACCATTCATGAAGGTGACTGCCAAGACCAGCTATCCCACCTCAAAAGCCTGCAAATGCAAGGCAGCTGGTTAAAGTGGAGAGACACGATGTTTGAAGACCTCACTTGGAAAAAACTGTTGTACGAAGGCTACGGGAGGACTTTCTCCTTTCAACTAAACTGTGTATTAAACACACTACCAACAGTTGACAATCTGAGGAGGTGGGGTAACTCTGTGGTCGAACAACAATGCCCTCTATGCAACAGGCAAGCTACGCTCCGTCACATATTATCAGCATGTCCAACAGCCCTCCACCAGGGCAGATATACCTGGCGCCACGACAACGTACTGAAATGCATAGTAAAACTAGTAAACGAAACCATCCAAACTTATCAAAAGGCCACGGCATCAGCAGAAACGCAGAGTAAACAGAAGAGAATTGATTACATAACTTTCTGCAAGGCAGGAGAGAATCTCCCCAAACAGCCCCCCTCCCAACGCAAACGGCTAAATGACCAATTCGTAACTAGCTCAGCAGACTGGCAGGTCCTGGTGGACATGAAGGATGAGAATCTTGTTTTCCCCCACTTCATAGCACCTACAACCTGTCGTCCAGACATAGTGCTCTTCTCCAAAGAATTGAGAAGAGTTCTGTGGCTGGAACTCACGGTATGTAGTGAAGATCGCTTTGCACAATCGCGCGAAATCAAAATCGAACGCTATCGTCACCTTCATAGCGCGTGTGTAAGGAATGGCTGGGATACGGAAAGTCACACAGCAGAGGTGGGAGCGAGAGGCGCCATATCCACCAGCTTGGATTCCTTCGCGAGATCCTTGCGCTGCACTAAGGAACAGCGCAGGCTCTTGCGGAGGAATTGTCGCCAAGCAGCGCTGAACTCAAGCTATGTCCTATGGCTAAGGCGAAGGGAGCGAACATGGCGCGACTGGCCGTTGTATTAAAACTGTTTGGTGAACCTGTTGTAGAGCACTTGGTGGGCGATCGGCCACCCAGCGAGGATAGTTGGACGTCCTTAAAATCAAGATTTGAACTCGCCATTCCGGCCTCTAAAGGGCCGGGGGTGGACGATCGCCAACCTTGCCAACCTCTCGTAGTCACTTGTTCTTGTCGAATCGTTATTTTCATAGCCTACTCGACATTCGCCCTACAAATTACCATACATCACAACGCAACTACCTGTACATGACACACCATACCATACGGACACAACCACACCCCAACTGTACTGGGGGCCTATCTCTTCGAATTGCATTATATGAGTTTCTTTTTCCTTTTTTCTTTACCCGTTACTGTCTAAAAAGCAGTCGAAACGGTTTTTATCCACCATTTGATGCTGAGCATTTCCCTTCTTCTTCTTCTTCTTCTTCTTCTTCTTCTTCTTCTTCTTCTTCTTCTTCTTCTTCTTCTTCTTCTTCTTCTTCTTCTTCTTCTTCTTCTTCTTCTTCTTCTTCTTCTTCTTCTTCTTCTTCAAAATTCCAGTATCTTTGCTCTCTCTGGGTCTGTACATTTACCTAGTGCAGGTACACTGTGCATGCATGCAATGTTACCGATAGTACATGAACAACAAACTGGAGTTCTTTGATTTTACCCGGGTGCGTTCTTTTAAATTTTGGTGACTTTCTAGCCCGGATGTTCTTCGGTGCTCGATGTTAATGCCTTTAATAGTCTAAATCAAGGGAGTTTCCGTCTCCCTCCCTCCTTCCCTCTCTCCCTCTCTCTCCCCCCCTCTCTCTCTCTCTCTCTCTCTCTCTCTCTCTCTCTCTCTCTCTCTCTCTCTCTCTCTCTCTCTCTCTCTCTCTCTCTCTCTCTCTCTCTCTCTCTCTCTCTCTCTCTCTCTCTGTGTATTCCATGTAATCCTCCGCGTATACTCCAACTTCCAGGTACAAAGGCTGTCGTGCTAGCCATGGAAAGCTAAGACCGAGATACGAGTCGTATGACAAGCATAATGTTTGTCTACCTATAGTGTGGCAGAGCACCGGGGGACATTCATGCAACACGCCGTGACTTACTGTTGGTACATCGAGAGAGCTGCTTGAAACTTCTGATTCAGCTGCTGCAGCTCATTGCGCTTCCTGTGGAGGCACAAAGGAAACGTCAGCAGTGGGAGACTACGTTGGTACAAGTAGATGCGTGATTGTGCCGACCTAAGACCCGGCCAGCACAGTGCCAGAGAATCAAGAGAAGGTTGCTGGCCGTGGGGACAGTGTTGTCTGTTCACAACCTAGGCAAATTTGTGGTGCACCCTAAAGAATGAATAAAGATGACGTGTGAGGTTTCGTGTCATAGAGCGGTTTTAAAGGTAACTTGCTGGGAAGCAGCTGGATACATAGCACAAGAGTAACAGCACGTGTGTAACACTCAAGTAGATGTGCCCCTGAAGCACTTCCTTTCACCAACAACAACCACATACATGTACAACCACATACACACACACATACAACAACGTACAACAACATACAACCACGTTCACACCCACACACACGTACACACACACACACACTTGTACTGGCTCACTGCCAAAACTGGTCACGTGGGTCTTCCCGGAAGAGGAGGATAGATTCAAAAAGAATCTTGGAAAGAGAATTAGTTCTTTATAGCCGACGTTATTTATAACAGAAATGCCCTCACGCCATACAAGCAACACGACCGGCAGGTGTCCCGTGACTGTATGAGTGCACTTGGTTTACATACGGCCCAGAACCCTACAAGATATGGTTTGTTCTTAACGAAAACTGTTCGCTACAAAGGGTCAATTCTGTGTGGGATCAAGCAGGGTCATGGACAATGGTTCGCCATGTCACGGAATTCGCAATGTGCAAGTTCGTCATAAGTGGAGTCGACTGCACACACACACACCAAAGTAAGCAGAGAGGACGACTTACGCGTCAATCGCATCAATCTTTCCGGTAATAAGTGGCTTCATACTCATACACTCATCTGGAAAGCAAGCATATCAGAGAGAATGGACAATTGAAACCTACAAACAGGAAGAGAGCGACAGGACTAGTACTATGGGCAAGATGTTCAGTAGGAAAGTCGTTTGCTCCCCATACAAGACTGGAGCTCGTGAAGATGTTCAGGCTAAAACTAAAATAACTTTAAATAAGACCATAACAAACCAGACATGGAACATTCTGAATCTGAGCAGCCCAGCTTCGCTGGTTTGAAAGCCCGTTAATATAGTATCTGTCACTTGCAGAGAATAAGTGGGAATTTGTAATGGGCGCTACATGTAATTGCAAGGCAATGGAAGATTTATGCCAGCATCCCCTCATGCACAGATGTACAGATGCAAACCAACATCCACCCACGGGTGCGCGCGCACACACACACACGCGCACACATGCATGCACACACACACACACACACACACACACACACACACACACACACACACACACACACACATACACACACACACACTGCACCGGCTGGACTCGGCTGCCTCACCTTCCATCTCCTTGATCGTCTTGTCTTCTTGTTCATTTTCTATGGTGGCATCGGCATTACGCAACATCTCAAGCAGCAGGTCAACCTTTTCCTGCATGTAGGCATAAGAAGGTCAATGTACATGAGGTACACCACATAGCAAACAATACATGACTAAAAAAAGAGAGTAAACTCTAATGAAAAACAGGAAAACACTTCTGCCATGACACAGATGGCATTGTGCATGAATTATACTGGAAAGAAGATTCAATTCATGAGCTATTTACCTCCCCCCCCCCCAAATTCCCAGACCTTGGGTGGACTTGAAATTGATCCCACTTGTGGAATCACCATTGTCGTAACCAGGCAAGGACAAGGATCAGGAAAAGAGCGACGGTAGCTTCAGGGTATCTGTCCCGGGATCCAACTGCATTTACCCTGTCCTAATCCTTGATCCTGTGAGGGTGGTGGCATTCTTACGGATTCGGAAAGCTCGGTCTAACCGAGTATAGCGCGATCTGTGACTTTTTTAAAGTGAAGGTATTCATGATGCTAGATTGGGCTCTTGAATAGAGTGGAGCTGATAGGGTTCATTGGCACCATGGATTACATCAGAGTTAGCCTAACCAGATGTAGTCCATCAGTGAACAGGCATGTATACTATGAAAGCATAAGAATACGTAGTGATAAGATGGAAACTGAAAGAAACAGAGGTGGCAGGTACAACACTGCACTTTCAAGCAGTCGAGTCTGATGCCAACAGACCCAACCACTATCTGGCATAAGTGTACCCCCCCCCCCCCCCCACCAAACCGGACTACGGAACACAACGTCATACAGACTAACAGTCAGCGGGCCTAATTGTATATGCAGGGGCTAGCAGCGGCGTACCTCATTGATATTGGGCTTCGAAGACTCATATCTGCCACTGCTACCGGAAGCACCAGCTTGAGAACTTTGTGTTGAGTCTACGGCACACAGTAAATATAAAAACACCGGGTGAAAGCATAACAGTGGTAGAACCAACAGCTGCAACATCAACAGCTCCGATATCAACAGATCCAACACCAACAGCTGCAACATCAACAGCTCCGATATCAACAGCTCCAACACCAACAGCTGCAACATCAACACTAACAAATACTAATACCCGGTATTTAATAACTAAACGTCGATGATTTTGCAGCAACAGCTCCGCTGCAAAATATCGAGGCCAGCGGAGCAGAATCTGTCTGGGCCTACTCTAGAAACACACACGCAGGAAAATATCTAGACAAACAAGCAAGTGGAACGCAGCTTACTTTGTTCAGGAGATGCTTTTAGATTCCTGGTCACAAAGTTAGCTGGGAACAAGCCGGTACCAGCGAGAGTGGTTCCCTTCCACCAGACATCATCACTGGGAGAGGAGCACCAAAGCACCAGCAACACAAGAGCACAGGGAACACACAGAATGCAAATCAAAGTTCACACAGTTGCCTGCAAAAGGAAACTGCAGCTGCACGTGCAGAGATTATGCGGAGCACGTCCAGCGCAAAGCACAGTCACCGCTGTCCGTACAAGTGCTGCAGCGGACATTCTCTTCACTACTGCTAGCATACACTATTACATATACAGGTGTAGCAATCCAATTGCTTCTCTCTACAGTGTTCATACACTATTATTATACATGTGAAGAGCTTGAGAACAAAACACGGTATATCCATTTTGGCACTTTTCGGGTAAAGTCAAAATTCTGTTCTGACATTGTCTTACATCCCATCCCAATGGAAATTTGGATTTAGTACCAGAAGGAATGCTGGACCCCAAACACCATGTCATCAAAAATCCACACCTCTCAGATTTTGATATTTTTTAGTTTTTCACCTTCTTTTTTGGCAAAACGCAGTATATCCGGGTGAGAATGTAGGAACAAGACGCCCTCTCCCAGCAGGAGACAAAACAACTGGCTCACTGATACCATCGAATGTCACCTCAGCCACGCTGATGTCTAAGACAAGAGCTTCGACAGCGTCAGGAAGAAGAGAGAGCTAATTTGACAGCCACAAGTCGAGTCAAGCGCTCGTTCAAAAAAAATTCGAACTGGTTTGAGAAAAATGACAAAAAGCAGTGTTCTGTGCGTTCTGAACACCACGCGCGCTGCCCACGACTGTATAACTATGACAACTGGCGTATACTGTGTTTTGAAAAAATTCTAGCCGGATATACAGCGTTTTGCTCTGAAAGCGACTGGTTGAATGGGGTTTTCTGTAGGTTGTACTGCGTTTTCGCCAAAAATGACCGCGCCATCAAATTCAGCTCGATGTGATCTTTCGGGTGGGTCAAAAATCTCGATTTTGAAGATTTGGCGCATACAGCGTTTTGTTCTCGGGCTCTTCATGTACAGGTGTAGCAATCCAATTGCTTCTCTCTACAGTGTCCATACACTATATACATGTACTGGTGTAGCAATCCAATATTATTGCTTCTCTCTACAGTGTCCATAGCAAGCTAATGGCATAGTGCAATGCAGATCTACTACAGTGCTGGTCTACATACAGTGCTGGTCTACATACAGTGCTGGCCTACATACAGTGCTGGCCTACATACAGTGCTGGTCTACATACAGTGCTGGTCTACATACAGTGCTGGCCTACATACAGTGCTGGTCTACATACAGTGCTGGTCTACATACAGTGCTGGTCTACATACAGTGCTGGCCTACATACAGTGCTGGTCTACATACAGTGCTGGTCTACATACAGTGCTGGTCTACATACAGTGCTGGCCTACATACAGTGCTGGTCTACTACAGTGCTGGTCGGAGAAATCAAACCTCATGAATAAAGAAACGACGCGTTCGAGTGCACGGACCAGTATGCCAGTATGCGAGTATGCGTAGTGCTACGGTTGCGTAGCGCCCGGCGCTACAGTAAAACCTGTCACGGCGACCACTCGGATAAAGCGACCACCTGTCCCAGAAGGCCACTGCAGCCAGGACCAAGGGATGCTATGTCCAGTCAAATGACCCTGGATAAGCAGACCACCTGGTAACAGAGATCACCTTTTGAAGGTCCCTTGAACGGTCGTCTTAGACCGGTTTCACTGTATTTTTATTGATGAGGTGGTGGGATTTTCTTTGGCCAGGACTGTACATACAGAATACAGTGTGCTCACTACTCACCTGTCATCAACAATGTTGATCAGCTCACCAGCTTTGAACGAGAGTTCGTTGCTTTCAACAGCCTCAAAGTCATACTGTGCGCGTACCTGACGCACCTAGCGCACACCGGCAAAGCAGAGAGAAATGGCACCACGGTGTTCACTGTCCCATTGCGTGCAACAAAGGCAAGCTCCATGAGCCAGTCGACCTTTTGTAACCCAAACACCCAACTAAGAAGGGCAGTCGACTTACAGCTCGGGTTTAACCACCATTGAACTGGGAAATCGAGTCCCCAAGTACATGTATGGGGGGGGGGGGGGGCAACTTAATACCGGCAAAATAAGGTAACGTGCTACGAAATTGCGAACACATCGTCACGTCTGACATGCACCGGCATAATGTTCCATGCTGAACACAAGGCACCGGACAGCAGAAGAGGACAGCACGAGAGGGCAGAACGAGAGGACAGCAGTACCATATTGGCAAGGGCAAGCGTGACTTACTGCCGTGGATGATGCGACACCAGGGCTTGCGGTCGGCGCGGCAGCAGAAGCAAGCGCACTGCTAGCCGCATCAGCCAGATTGGGGTACACCTTCTTCTACACATGACACGGTAAGCAAACATAGACACAGACACAAATGAAGAGCTGGAATAAACATTAAAAAAACATTAAATCCATTTAAAATAGAAGAAGAAATCACATGGGAACAAGATTTTGTGAAAAAAGTTCAATATTTAATTTATGGACGATCCCTTAGTTCGCCCAACAGAGTTCGTCGTAAACGAATAATTTTGACTTGATATGATGCCCGGCCAACCATAGGATTGGTCCTAGTTTGTATTAATGGAAAGTTCGCCCTATCAGTGTTCGTCGTAACGAGGTTTGACTGTAACATCTACTAGTATACAAACACTGAAGAACAGCCATATATACAACTGAAAGCAATGGCAGTGTAGCATGCACGTTGACATCTAAACACACACAAAATGTGATCACAGTACAGGTGATGAGAAAACGACCAGCAGGCAGCAGAGGGGAGGCTACTGGTATCTGATGGCGGCTTACCTTTCCCTTCCTTTTACTACCCGCAAGACAAGATCGGCCCGGTTTGGGCTCAGCCTCTTGTCGGCCAATGTCCTTCAAGGACAGCTGAATGGCTGCATCACACACACACACACACACACACACACACACACACACACACACACACACACACACACACACACACACACACACACACACACACACACACACACACACACACACACACACACACGTGCACACACACACACACACACACACACACACACACACACGTGCACACACACGTGCACACACGGGCATGTACACACACACACACATACACACACGCAGGCACACAGACAGACATACATACACACACATACACACACGCACACACACATGTAAGCACATACACACACCATGTACCAGGCACACCGATCAGAAGAGAAGCATGCAAATCCTCAATGGCACTGGATGTACCCCCGCAGATTTTCCCATGATAGAGCAACGGTACATGTATCGGACAAGATCTGAATGAAACAGATCACAGCTTGCACAAGGAAACTGTCCAATCCACATAACTGATGATGCCATGTAATAGTGCAGCAGCAGGAGCACCATCAGCAGCAGCAGAACTCACCTTTCATCAAGTCTACTTCTTCTTTAGTTTTCGGAGACAAGGAATGCTGCTGAGGCGGGTCTGGCGAGAAGGTCACCTTCTTCATTGGCTTTGCAGTCTGCCCCCTGCGCTTGGAACGTTCAGTAGCCTTCGCTAACGCAGCAGAGGGTTTCATGCTCGCCAATACCTAGACCAGAGGGACCCAGAACAGGAAACTCGTTCGATTACGTTGATAATGATAGACAGGGTGAGTTGTCAATTGGCAGAGCCATTACTCCCACAGATCACAACTGATCACACCCCAAACTACTCCATTTCAAGTTGACATCATTTTTTATGACGCAACGAGCGACGCACGAGTGATTTACGACGCTTGCACTGCCAGGGTGTCAACGCATCACACGTGCTTCTTCGCACTAACTTGTACAGGATCAAATGGGGATTTGTCCAGCACAGCTCCAGGATACATCTGTACATGATCAAATGGGGATTTGTCCAGCACAGCTCCAGGATACATCTGTACATGATCAAATGGGGATTTGTCCAGCACAGCTCCAGGATACATCTGATAATACGTGTACACCGTGCATGGCATTATAGAAACGACACGTCAACTTTAAGTTCTGCCGGTACAGCACGCATTGCGGAGTTGGGCACTCTGTACTCTTGGTAGAATCATGTAATGTTCCAAATCACTGTCAGAGTAAACACCACAGCAGGAGACCTTTACAATAACGGTGTAAACTTTGCTATTTGTACTTGCTGGCTGCTATATTCCTATTCCACCTGTGAAACCATTTTAAAGAAGAGGTTGGTGCGACTTCGGCGATAGTGAAACCATTTTAGCTAAATAATTGTTGGGTTTAGTTATTACTTCCTCCGCGTCATTAAAATTGTCGCTTCCCAGAGCGATTTTCGAATTTATTTTGTCCACTCGAGGGGCAAAGAAATCAGCTAGAAATTGAGGCAGAGCATTGTCGACGGACCAAGCTTTAGTTTGTGGCCTCCCGCTTCGCTGCACTTGCAGCTAAGGTCGACGTCTTCATCAGAGTTTGAGGCAGACCCTTCAGCACTCAACAATACGATGAAGAAGACGTGCGTTCAAATTCAGGTCAAGAAACTTCGTTTTCAAGCGATCCATGCCTCCAGGTGGCAGGGGATGAAGGCAAGCTAACATTTTTCAAGTACACTGTAACGACCTTCCAGCAGGGTAGGGTAAGCAGTTCCGCACCTTCTTTCCTTGGCAAGCGCTTCGCTGATTTTTTTCGGTGTTTTCAGACCTGCTACCTTCGCAGCAACATGCGCCACAAGTAGCGCATTGTAGGAATTTGAGACCACTTTGTTCTTGCCATCGTCAACTTCAGCATTTCGTATTCAGGAGAGATACCAGGATTCTTATACCCGGGCTTGCAGTCTTGATAAATGCCCACTCGAACGATGTGGGACGGCACGAACTCCAGAAAACGAAATGCGCTCTGGGGCGGAATAGTGCGGAGCGCGATGAATTTGCTTGGTGCGGAAGAGAGCTCCGACAAAGTCCGTGACCACCACGGCTTCAGTAACAAGTAGACATTGCGCAGGAAGGGTCGCACCAGTGTTCGAACACAGAAAACAGCGATTCCGACTGTCTGACGAAGACGAGCCAAGTCACAAATATTGCGATGTGCGAAGCGACAATTTTAATGACGCGGAGGAAGTACATACAAGTACTATGTAACGAAGTTCCACTGGTGATAGTGACGAGAAGACGTCTTGGAATATAATTTGTAAAGGTTCATGGATATTAGCGTTAATTCCAAAGAGGGGAAGGTAAGGGACCATCGCAAAAGTTCGCAGAAGCCCCTGAAACGAAGAGCATACGTTTGGGGGGGGAGAGAGTCGTGTCGAAAATCGCAAACCGGGCTTCAATTCAAAAAAGTATTGACGACATGTAGGAGCTGATATATATAATATAATCTTTATTTCAGGATTACCCAAAGGCTAACATATAGATTAGCATGCCATCACAGCCGGCGTAGATATCGCTTGTCAGGACGCGTAGTCCATTCATGCAACTGCGCGTGTCGCGTAGCTGGCTGCCTGTACACTGTGTGTAGTCTAGTACCAAGAGTCCATAAAACGCGTGGTTTATGGACTCTTGCTAGTACTAGTACTAGCAGGGGTTCATAGGGTTTATGAACCCCTGCTGTGTAGTATATTATAATAATTATTATGTGTGCAGCATCCAAGTGAAATAATGAAGCCCATACTGTGACTGTCGTTTCGTTTGAGGGGGGAGGGAGGGGGGTCAGGCCCGAAACTCACGGTCTTCGTTTCGGGGGCTTCTGCGAACTTTTGCGATGGTCCCTAAGCGCCATCAAGCCGAACACAAGCTACATTCCCAGGCTCCATGGAATGCTGGCCTGGTACGATAACGGGATGGTAAGATCATTGACCAGTGCTCAACCTCACTTTCATGCCGTGGAATGTCTTGCAGTACTCCAGTACTCTAAGTTTGCTGTTCTCCTTTTCCTATCTTATGCTCTTCCTGCATTCATATAGTTATTGGTTTGTGCTCTCAGTAAAACACGTTTCGGCAAAAGAAGCAACATCAGAACCAGCACAGGTAGCAGCAGCAGCAGCAAGTACGAAGTCAAGGGGATAAACAGGCTAAAGACATAGCACACACACACACACACACACACACGCATGCACACACACACGCGCGCACACACACACACTACTGGTGACTATACACATCAACACCAGCATCAAAATAACAACATACCTGATCAGCATCGTGTGGGTGAAATCGGACTCCACGTTTCTTCAACAAAAGGTAGAACTCGTAGAACGTGCTGGTGGGAAACATACAGAAGTTGACATATATTGGCAAACAGTCACAAACATGCATATGTGCACACACACACACACACACACACACACACACACACACACACACACAGATGCAGACACACATACATACAATTGTACTCGCTCATTGCCAAAGCTTGTCACGTGGGTCTTCGAGTCTTCCCAGAAGAGGAGGATAGATTCAAAAGGAATCTGACTATTGAACCACACAACGGCCTCCAACCCTGCGCCCCCCCCCCCCCCAAACTCTCAGTGGACTTGGAAATGATTTCATTTATCGGCTCACCACACCACAGAAAGTGGATGAGAACACACACACACACACACACACACACACACACACGCATGCACGCACGCACACCACACACCTACCCATAATAAGCTTCATTGCAAAAAGCAATCAAGCACTGCTGAAGGAGCTCCTTGAAGCTTTCCTTGACTGCCGCTGCTGCAGCTTTATTCTTCAACTACATATGGCCAACAGACAAACACAAGAAACCCGAAAAGGCACAGAAACTGAGAAAACTGTTCTTCGCCAGAACACGCAACCATATATCGTGCACATATCTAGAGATAAACTCTAGAAGTTTCGGCATTGAACAAACAGCTGTGTTTTCATTCCATCTTGTGAAATCACCCCGCCATTTTCAGCGCAGCAAACTGTAATAAAACACTGCCAAGAACCACTGTCAAGTTAGTTGCAGGCCTGTCAAGAAGATACATTATACATGAGCACAAAACACTTCCACTCGACATGTACTACTTCTTGCCATCAGAGTGGAACAGTCAGAGCAGGCCTACATGTACACTAAAAAACGCTCAAAAGAGAGGTGAGATTGGTGAGATTGCAGCCATGCGTGCGTGTGTGCGTGTGTTCCGGAAGCGGTGGTGGGACAACGGTGTGTCTGCCATGAAGTAGCGCCAGATCATGAACTAGTACGACCCCGCCCAGGATCGCAGAGAGTGGAGAAGAGCATGCAGCATCATTCCTCCTCCTGAGCCTGTCACCACAGACTTCGTTTGCAGTTGTGGAACGAGCTATTGCAGTCGCCAGGGCTTGACTCGTCACGCCCGATTCTGCTTGTGACTTCAAAACTGTTGGTCCCTTCGTGACCTGCTATCATCTCAGGATGGGCACATTGTATAGTATTTTGTGCACGTGCAAAAAGCCAAAAAACATTTGTAAATATGGACACACACTACATAATCTTTCACACACACACGCACACACACACACACACACACACGCACACAGACGCACACACACACGGACACAGACACATACACAGACATGCTGCAAGAAGTCAGAACATGGCTACATACCAGGATGTGTTGGGCAATGAGAATAAATTCCTCGCAGCATAACTCCTGGTAGACTTTGGTATCGCACACCACAAGAATGTATCGAATCAGCTACATGCAGATAGACAGACAGACAGACAGACAGATAGATAGATACGCAGGCAAACATCCAGCAGAAGCTTGAGTATCTATACGAGGTGAATTGCTATTTCTGGACATTGGACATTTCTGGACATTTCGAGTAAAATAATTTTTCGTCGCGTGTAGAGTCAAGTCAGTCAGGTTGATGAAGTTTTTTCTTGTTGTAGTTTACAGCTGGGCTGTTGTAGTTTCTCCTCGAGTCGGTGCCTTGTTGATAGCCTTTTCGTGGGAGGCATTTCAACGAGTTTTGTGGTACTATGTCGCATGAGAATTTTGAATTTTGAGTAAAATAAGAAGTAATGGATGAATCGTTGGCTTCCCCATGTGCACTCCACTTCAGACGCTGTATAGTCTTGGACCTGTTGGCTGGAAGTGTGAAGAGGCCAACTGCAGTCCACCAATAGAAAAAATAACAAAAATGGGGCAGTATAGGATGCCTATTGACGCTATTTTACTTTCATGTCCAGAATTCCATACACTGGAATTTAGGCCAAAAAATTGGCCTGTCGAAAACATCCTGCTATAAAGTCTCTGGGATCACAGCATGAGCAATTGTCACATATTTGGAAAGATGAAGGATTAGGCCATACAATAGATACAAATAGATATGAAAAATGTAAAACACACAGCCAGTGGGCCTCTATTTTATTTTCATGTCCAGAAATTGCTATTCACCTCGTACAATGGCGTACCAGCACAGGCTCAACTAGAAGATTCATTTCTAAACGAAGAAAATACTTCAAGCAAAGCCAGGCTGGGCAATGTTCGAAAACACTGTGTCCCAGTCAGCAAGAATGTGTCAGATGGAGTTCAAAAGGCCTCAGCCCAACGAAAAGTTTGTCTTAGCCAAGCTTTGGGCTTTTGGGACTCGGTGCTTGGAGCGTCCTTTCCGAGTTTGGCTAATAGCCATGTCGAAATACACTAGACAGCTGCTACTGGTCCTTGTTGGGACCAGACAAATAGTACGTGTTATCCGAGGGTGCATCTTAGCTCAGGGTTTCTTAGTTTTTAGAGAGGTTAAGACGCACGTTATTTCCGACGTGACGCGCAATTTCACGTCAAATTTGGCGTAAAACTCCAAATTTCGACGTGAGCGACGCGCGAGCCAAATAACGTGAGCTAAAATTTCGCGTCACGAGTGATGCTGATTAAATTATGGAAGGGGTATACACACTGTGTTTCCCTGTGGATCATGAACTTTGAACAGTGCGGATGCTGCACAAAAACTCAACATCAGCTTAGCTTACCTCTATGCAATTCAGTATCACAGAATCTGCCTTCTGGCACAGCTGTATCAGGATGTGGTGCACAGCTTTCTGGCGCCTGCAGTCAAGCACAGAGCGTGCACAACAGCAGTGATGCAAACACAACATCCACACAAGCACACAGATACATCCACACCATCAAATCATCCCTGCACACATACACTGTACATGCTGCACACTGTCACATGACCAAGCACTTCCACAAACAGCAACACACATACTGTACATGCACACTGTCACATGATCAAGCACTCCCACAAACAGCAACACACATACTGTACATGCTGCACACATGATCAAGCACTCCCACAAACAGCAACAGCAACATGACATACCGTAACCGTCGTGTATAAAGGCCGCGGCTTATATGACTTTCTTGGGGAAATTTTGCAGGCTTCTATACAAGAGAGATATTTCTATGTACTTCAAGTATGTCAACACTAAAACCAGGCTTATGTGCCGACAGTGTATTTTGAAAATCGAAGCTGAGTGCTCAATGCACAAATGTGCTTCTTCTTTTTTTAAGAGTACAGTTTGCACATTCGTGTTGCCACCGGCTATAGAAGTCCAGTGCAGCTCAATCAGATCCAGTCGCGTCACTCAAGTACGCGCCGGGCGTTGCGCAACCCCAGACCTGCGAACACTGGGCTGCGAAATGATGCAAGGCGCAAACTTGAGTGACGCGACTGGATTTCATTGCGCTCATTGAGCAGGACTGTATCGTACTTGTAATATGTATAGTAAACTCCCCTTAACGTTACTCGACTTCCCAGATCTAGGCACCTGTCCAACTCCTCTCTATAACAGACACATCAGCTTTTCAACAAAGACAAACAAACAGCGCAGAAAGCTATCGATCAGCAAGAAAGGTGTTCATCGATATGTAAACACAACAAGATACATGATTGTGGTGTTTACATGTACATACTTCAAGTAATATGTTCTGAGTTCCAGTTTTTCCAGTGTTGGTCTGTCCAGTGATCCGTTTGGTGTTGTGTTTTCCGCATCCTGACCCACCGGAGGCTGTCAGAAATGATTTGTGCACCGCTTGCAGGCGCGCGCGCGCGTGCGCGGCGGTCTTGGTGGTACTTGGTCAACTGGAGGCCGCGCAATCCCTACGTCAGTTCCGGGATGGCGTAGCGTATATGAGCCTCTAGATCCGAAAAAGGGGGCTTATGTCGTTTCGCGCAGTACTGAGAAAAAAAATGCATTTGAAAGTTGAGTTTTCCGCATAAAGCGATGTATAATTCACTTATTGAAAAACCAATAACTCTGTGAAAGATGAAAACTTTGGACCTAGGTTTTTTACAGAGAGATCTGCTGGGATACAGCAATGTCATGGTATAGAAAACTCAAAATGTTCAAAAATGACATAAGCCTCCTTTTTGGATCTAGAGGCTCATATGCTCATATAGAACAGATTAATTTTAATGTCAGGTCCTCCGCCGTCACACTGCCTCGGAGCACACGGCCAGCTGGAATGCACGCAGGTGCTGGGAACGATTGACGCGCTACTGCACCTGTGCGTGCACTGACTGGGTCTGTTCTTCCGCAGCATTAAACGTCAGAAGATTTTTTTTCACTTGAAAATACCGCCATTCCGGCAACAGGCTCTCAGCTGCACCAAATAGATAACTTTGCCAATATTTCGCCCATTGGGCATCATCAGGGCATGCCCTGATGATGCCCAATTTGCCAATATTTTGCCCAATGGGCGAAATATTGGCAAAGTTATCTATTTGGTGCAGCTGAGAGCCTGTTGCTGGAATGGCGGTAATTTCAATCGGCCGCGATAGTCAAACAATTTGACCGTCAGCACAGCAAAGCGAAGAGCAAGAAACAACAGCATGGCGAATTGGAGTAATGCGCATGCTCCGCACCGTCCCGTGCGGAAACGCGGGAATTCGGAGTGCACGCATGTTATGCATGTACAAGTGTTGCTTATGGCAAGGATGTTGGTGTGTTGCTAACTCCACTTACCGTGCCATGCACGGAAACTTACCGTATTTCCGTACATATAAAGCCATGGCGTTATATCCGAATATAAGGCCACCATCACTTATAAAGCCATGGCGTTATAAGTGAACAAAATTCAATGTGGAGGAAGTTGCATCTGGCGTTAAAGGTGAGTTCAATTCTTTCAGTGAACGTACAGTAGCGGTGATTCTCTCGGCATGTACCCATCCCCCTGGCACATGCCATACCGCCACCGCACCTTCACACAAGTTTCCATGCCACCTATCCTTGTACACAATAGGTTCACATTTTGAAATTTTCAGGGAAAATTGAAAGTACATGGATGCTCGACATGAACGTGCAACGGCACCGTACGAGTACTCGAAGTTCATACTCTGCCGATTTTTTGCATGTATGCGTCTCTCACTTTTAGCGCCATGGCGTTAAAACCGAGGCTATTTTCTCCAAAAATTTGGTCCAAAACAGCGATGTTTCACCTATAACGCCATGGCGTTATATGCGCGGAAATACGGTATATTCAATAAAATTAGCTGAACCGACATTTGTGTACTTTATTCATGCAATGCAATGTAAATAATAAAGTACACAAATGTCGGTTCAGCTAATTTTATTGATTGCGGTTATCAAATTATTGTCTCCTCGCCGTGTGTTTAAACATGAAAATATCCGAAACAAAAAGCTCGGCTTCAGTTCATTCATAAAAAGATGGGTCCTGGCTCTGGCGAGCTCCCGTTTTTGGCGATTTTCTCGTACCTGGTGCAGTGCTGCGAAATTCGAAACTTGAAAAGGGGGTCCAAAAAGGTACGTCAACTGGGGTTTGAACCGCACAGTGTACTGTTGCAAGTAGAGTGAAACCGACTGGATTTTCCCAATTCAGTGCTTTTTATGTCATGATGCACGTTCCGCGCTCCCGTTGCCGCATACGAGCGTGAGATTACATATTTGTACATGTACGGTACAACCTTTCTTGCGCCAGCCGTTTCCTTTCATGACCATTCCTTGCCGAGAAAAAGTAGGTCGTCTCTCATGGTCTGCTGGCCGCCATTGCTTGCCGTTCTTCATCCTTTTCTCCCGTTTTCCTGTTTGTAATTATAGCGTTATCAGATGGTAGTTTGCTCACAGTGTGGTGTGGAGGCTGAACGCGGACTTACAGTCCATTCAGAAAAAGATGGACTTCTAGCGTTTGGCCATAAATGGGTCAAACTTTGAGTTTTTTTAGAATTTTTTCTGGAATCCCCTATGGAATCCTCTTCCAATTATGTTTCTGAAGTTTTTTTGTTCAAAAAGCAAGCCATAACAAGAAAAGGATTTCGGCCTGGTTTTGCCCGAACAGCACTGAATTGGGAAAAACCATAAAAATCCAGGCCGTTTGACCCTGCCTGCAACAGTGCATTGTGTGGTTCGAACCCCAGTTCAGGTACCCTTTTTACTTTTTAGACCCTTTTCAAATTTCAAATTTCGCACCACTGCACTGTGTACAATGAAATCACGAAAAATCGCCAAATACGGGAGCTCGCCAGACCCAGGGCCCATCTTTTTTATGAATGGACTGTAGGCTACGGACGTCGTAGAACACGTTGTGTTTTAGGAGCACCAGGCATCTAAATTTCCTAAATGCTTTTTGGAGAAATAGACTTCAGAAACACAAATGAAAGAGCATTCCACAGGGGATTGCCAAAAAATTCTGTAAAAATTCAAAGTAATTAGTTTGACCCATGGCCCATTTAGGCTGCAACCACACTAGGTACAAAACTGCGTAAACGCAACTTTTCTGCTTATGTCGTCAAGGAAACGCGTGCGAAACGCAAAACGTACTGCGTTTCGTTTCAGCAAACCGGGTACCCCTGTAGAAAGCAACTTTTCGCCTTTTCCTTGCGTTTCGCTCGGTTCTTCACACGGCCGGGTAGATGTTTCTTAGAATTCTTGGTGAGGCTTGCACTGTGTCGGTAGTAGACGGCTTCCTTGTCAGTTTGTAGTATTTGAGATTTCATCTGCCAGGGCTTTGCTTTCAGTATAATTTCCGGACAGTCCTGTTGCCTGCTGCTGTTAGTTCGAGATGCCGCGCAACTACAAATTAAGTAGAATGTACATTGTATTTCGCTGATAATCTCGAGCTGAGAAGCTCATGCAGCTTGGGTCAGCGTACCAGAAGACGAAGCAGGGCCAGATGACAGCCTGGAGCGGACCATCCGAGAGAAGGAGATGACCGAGGCCTTGAACCATGACATTGTGAACGTGTATGTCAAGGCGCTCGCGACTCTTTTTCAAACTAGTACTGAGTACATGTACATGTAGTACATGTACATGTACATACATTTTCACAGCGCGATTTTTCTGGGACCCAGAAATGTAGACAAAACGCAAGGATTCCTTGCGCATGAAATGGCAGTGTGGATGCGACTTTGCGTTATCTAAAAGCTGAACGCAAACGCGTACTTGATTTTGTACGTAGTGTGGTTGCAGCCTTATGGCCAAAAGTTAGAAGTCCATCTTTTTATGAATGGACTGTAAGGTCCAGACACCACCGTGCTTCTTCCACCAACAACGTTGACAGGGTGAAATTCACGATACTTACTCAGGTTGCGTGGTGAGTTGCTTGATCAGCCCAGCAAGGTGATGATACGTTGTGTTGAACTCCGCTGCCACTGGTGGCCCTGATATCGCTTTATCTATCATTAGGAACAAAGAAAATGAGCCGCACAAGATCAGCCATACGTACAGTACCGTCTTGACAATGAACTAATTTCTTACCAATTTCCGGAGCAAGACTTGGCATTTCGCAAATTAGTCGAAACACTCAGCAGAGTGCGTTCAAATCAATCAAATCAAAATAGTAAACAGGCTGTAATTATTATCGGGCTTTCCTCCAGAAATCTATTATTTCCCCCTCCTTCTGCACACACTACCAGTATCAGCAATGAAATAATCACCCATTCATTCGAGCTAGAGGATGCTTCAACAAACTAAGTTACTTCGCTTCTTGACGAGATGATCTGGTGCCGGTTTTCAGCACGACAAAGGCTTTCGTCTTGACACTGACAACTGAGTGACAGTTACTGTTTCGTACTCTTTGCAGCTACATGTGGCTGTAGCTGGTAGATCTCGTACACAAAGAAGTACAAAACCAACTCACTCTTTCATCTCTCTTGTCTCTGCAGCTCTACGTAGCTAGCTACATGTTGCGAGTCCAGGCGTAGGCACGCTACGGTAGGGTACGGTGTGATTTTCATGAGAAGAAAATAAATAAAAGATTTTGAGGCACAAAATAAAAGGCACGCTGCAGATCTGGTAGATCTACGAGCTCGTGCTCGTACTCGTAGATAGAGGAAATTTCAAAAATCCGAAAGTAGGTGTACCAGGTAATGGTTACGTTTAGAAGGTGGCCGTGGAGCTAGATCGAGAAGAATAGATGGATGGATGATGGTCACTGGTGGTGTGACTGGATTTGCTCATGATGTGAACTGATTTCTGAGCCCAAAGCCGCTGATAGTGATCATGATTATGGTGATACTGTAGTGACTGCCTCTCACTGATAGTTTTTACAGGGTGCCCACACTTTTATCATTGTCCAACGCCTTGCCCGCTTCGGGCGTTTTACTTTTTACTGAAGTCGATAGTTTCCTTTTTTTTCTCATCATTAGTCCACACTAGCATAACTACTACTAGTACATGTACTTCCCTCGTGGATAGAATTCGGAGGCTGCTGTATCAAACTGCATGTCACTATCGTGGAGTTACCCATAATATTCGATCTGGGAGACAGTTGTTTTCTCTACGTCATTGTCCAGTGGACCCCGGATTTGTTTAGCCTGTTTCTCAGGCTGCATTGCTCACCTGTGCAGACGAAATGCACCGGCGACGAGTGGTATGACATGAATTTGTGCACTTCACACACGCACATGCACACTCACACTCACCTACGCCCGCCCGGACACCAGACTGGTCTGGTCAGCTCACCACACCCTGCCTCGTACCGAGCAAGTCCTAACCGGTAGCAACCGAGTCGCAATTAATTGCCACAATGCAGTCTGGCGGTGGCGCATTCGACGTGCGCAAGTCCATTAGCAAGTATGACGGCCTGCACGAGAAGCTGTGGGCACGGAGTCGCGATGCCGTGCTCAAGAGGAATCGCATTGACGCGTCCGAGTATCGCATGATGGAAGCATGCAGCAATGAGGAGGAGCGCCTGTACAATCGCCGCCTGTGCGATCTACGCAAGCGGGCACTCGACTACAGCATCAAGGAGCTGGCCATTGAGATATCACACGTGTCTGATGTTCTCGAGTCTCTGCGACAGGTGCAGGCAGCCCAGGACACTGGCTCGACGAGTGTTGATGAGTCGAGGCTGTCTTCCCTGGCGTTTGAGCGCTACGAGGAATGGGCAGGCTCCAGTCACGAGCTGTATGCGTTGCGCTCTCAGGCGTTGGAGGTGGCTAGCGAGATCATGCGTGTGCGATCACAGCGGCCGAAGACACCGGACAACATGTTGACGCAAGAAAGTATGTGGCTCTGCTAGGGATGCAATCAAATTGTGTAGAGCTGTTTCACATCTTGGTCATACTAGAGACTTAGAGTGCGTATGGCATGTGGACAGGGAGCGAACATGGCCGACGACATTTGGCACAGTGGTTCACTGATGTTGGAGCTCCAGTCAACATGGCTGTCGCGTACGGTCGTATGATAGATGTGCAACAGCTCTATTATAGCATATAGGTGTGTAAGACATGGTGCTGTCCATTCAGTACTGCTCTATGCGTATTGTGAAACCTGTCTAAGACGACCGCTCAAGGGACCTTCAAAAATGTGGTCTCTGTTACCAGGTGGTCTCCTTATCCAGGGTCAATTGACTGGAAATAAGATCCCTTTAAGTCCTGGTTGCAGTGGTCCTCCAGGCTCCAGGACAGGTGGTCACCTTTTCCGAGTGGTCGCCTTGACAGGTTTCACTGCACTTGTGGCAAGTGAAGTCCAAGTGACTTGATGAGAGTAATGCTTGTTGTGCTGGATGCTATGCACTGCTCCTAGCACTCCTAGCACAGCATTGGGCCAGCACTGGCCCGTGCCCTGGAGCATGCTTCTAACATGCATGTACTGGTGGAGCTGGTGCTTGCCAGGTCGGATCTCACTGGCCGCATGTGTAGTAGCGGCAGTAGTGTGAGTTATGTGCTGATCAGTACTCCCCGGCTACACACCATGCTACTGTACAATATCATTCATGGTGTATAGTGTGCACACTTGTCTTCCCTGCCTGGATCAGGCTAGTGAGCGAGTAAACACTGCATTCGCGTGCTCTTGTTCCGCATAGCACTGCGCAGTGCATGCGGATTTGACTGTGGCACAGGCCTAGGACTGGTTTGAGAGCATGTTCTAAGCCGGTGGGTGTAAGAAGTTCCGCTTCCCGATCTTCTTTGCGATGTGTATATTGGTTAGACCATATTTCGATACGATACCAATGCTTCTGGGACAACCTGGTCTGTACCGCCACCCGGGGAAAAGCTCAACAGAGAGAGAGACAGACAGACAGACAGACAGAGAGAAAGAGAGAGAGAGAGAGAGAGAGAGAGAGAGAGAGAGAGAGAGAGAGAGAGAGAGAGAGAGAGAGAGAGAGAGAGAGAGAGAGAGAGAGAGAGAGAGCGAGAGAGACAGCGAGAGAGAGACACAGAGAGAGAGAGAGACGGAGAGAAAGTTGTGTCCGAAGATAGATTGGGTATTAGCCTCACTGTTAGCAATCCTACTGGAGAAGCTGATTTGTGCACTCTACTCTGGCACTCCTCTTTTCTCGCCCAGACGACATCAGCATGGTGTTGGGACGGATGCGATCGCACACTAGATCTTTCACGTCGTCCACGGATGAGCCCGACGGCCTGGCCGCCGACGCCACCGCCGACATTCAGATGCAGAGCATGCCACGCCCTCCGGCATCGGGCAGGGAGTGGTGGGAGCGTCTGCTCGACACCAGCTCGCGCAAGACACCTCAGCAGACCTATCTGAAGGCTCTGTTCAACACCAGCGGTCACGTGCAGTCCTTTGAAGCTCGAAAGGTTAGATGGTCAACGTTTTACTGTAGCAGGGGATAATACCTTCTGGTTCAGGTTTGTTGTACGCATGGTTGTCGTTTTGCACCTGGCATAAGTTTCACCAAGTGATTCAATGCCCCAATCAAGGCAAACCTGTCGGCAAAGCCCAGTCTTTGACTGCCTCGCCAGTTGTTGAGCGGGTAGATTGACTCCGGTGCTTATTTCACTGCATTGCCGACGAGGTACAGTATTGCCTTGTGACATGGCTATCCTTGGAACGGACCTTTGGGGAATCCCCCAGGGATTGTCATCAGCTGATTTAGGCCTGTCCCCAGCCTTTGCCGGCGCCACCACCATTCTGTTCTTGAGGCCAATATCACAGTGTACAAGTGGTTCATTATAGTGCATTGCGAGCAGAACCTTGCTTCACGGAGGAACGTCATTATCGCGGTGTTGCTGTGCCTGCTGGCTTTCTAGGCGCACCTTGCGCTTCTCCACGTTTGTGTAATTGATGTTCTGCTGCTGGGGTGCTGACAGATACTGGAATACGTTGAAGAGTGCGAGCGGTTCTCTGCCACTGTGCTTTCACGGCGCTCCACGGCGAGCTGCCCGGGCGGCAGCGGGCTGGACATGTCGCAGGCAATGCCGGCCAATCACGCGCCGGCTGCTGGTGTGGCAGTGGCGGAGCAAGACGGCGGTAGTGGGGTACTGTCGGCACACGGCATTGAGCCGCGCCGCTTCCACGAGTTCATGGCGGCCATGAGCTACTACGTCGTGGAGCAGCAGCGCGAGCTGCACAACGAGGAGTGGGACGAGGAGGAGGTGCAGGTGAGCTGTGCCAAGAACTAGCCTCATCAAGTAATCTGATTGCTGATTAGAAGTTATTGAACACATCCAGTACTTGTATTGTCTGTGTGCAACTGTCCCATAGCTTAGTGGCAAGTGTACGATTATGATATACTGTACTTTTGGTTGCGGTGTTGCTGTGGAGTGAACGATTACTTATAAGACTAGTATTGTACCAAGACCCACAGAGAGCAGAGCATGGCATGCACACTGGAACTTCTCGACACGGAATTCTGGCATGCTTGTACTGAGATTGTGTAACATCCTAAGTGGACAGCTCCGCGTCCCTGTGACCCACTAGTACACGTAACGGAAATCAACAGCTGCCGTAGCCACCATACATACACTGGGCGATTGGCACATGAGATGAACTGTTTAACAAAAGCAGCTCAATCGATCCTGATCCCTAGTAGATGAAAGGTCTGTGTGCTGTAGCAACGCTCGTAGCCGCTTTGTCCTATTGGAAATTGGAACATGTATCCGCTGTGTTGACTCCCTATTTGGTGCTCTGTTGGTGCAGCTGATTCTGGAGGAGCATGTAATGTCTTCTGTACGGCCCATGGCAAAGGCATACACTGCAAAACGCTCCGAAGATGCGAAGATCAAGAAGAAATGTGAGATGCT